ATCGAGAGTAGCATACGGATAAACTGACAAATTTCGATACTTTACAATACGCATACATAGACAATCACAGGGCATTCCACCAAAAACTACGCAAAATTTTCCTCTGTAGAATGTAGACCGTTCAATAATTTCTTCATATTACTTTCTCCAAATTTATGATTATTTACAACTTCCTTGAGTCACAAGATAGGTTATTCAATTACCTTAAAATTCAAACAATTAAGTGAATAGTATTTCGAGTTCATAGCTTTCAGATTCGTGGGCGGCCAGGCCGTCTCGAAGCAATGTGTTAGTTAAGCGATAAATGGGATGTGAATTGACTTCCTTAAAGCTGGTAATACACCCTTACCTTCAGAATTCACGGATAACCACTAAAAAAGCTTGAATCAAACGTGTATCAAAGAGAAGAGTAAATTTCTCAAGGTTCCAGAATAAAGCTAGGTGAGTTGCTGTCAGCGTTTAAAACTGCAGAAGATGAGGAATGACTTCGATGACCTTTGGTTCGTAATTTATGAAACTACTATCATCCCTCAACTCCCCCACTAGTTCATTTATCCGACCATCCATCTGCTTATCTATACGTCCATTCAACACTGGTGGCGAACCATCATCTTCGCTAAAAGATCAACGACTTAGATTTCAATGATACAATGCTACGCCAACACGGGCGATGGAAGAGGTCTGTTGTCGATGCCCAAATCTGCAGAAGTTCATTGGAGAAGAGCCTCCGGAGTTGAATCGAAAGATAACAACCAACTTAGTCTAGAGTAGAGTAGTAAGTTCTCCTGAAAATCATCTACTACTTTCATATTCACAATCATTTTTTAATCATGACCTGAGAATACGATACTTTCTTACACTCGGGGTAAAGCATCATCCGACCTTCAGCTCCACTTCAGATATGGATCAGTTCACCTACCAGAAAATGCAATATCTAGGACTTCCAAATGATTCCACGCTAGAGACTACTACAATTGAAATAAACACCATTCCCCTTTATCGTACACTACTGTTCACCATAAACCACTAAGTTTTATAACCAATTTGAAGTTTGCATCGAAATCGATATTTAGTCGCTTAAGGCCAATCACAAAGAAGAACCCTTCATTTTGGTAACTAACACCTCGACATCGGTTTGTATTCTATCAGTCCATCCATCCACCTAATCCTGATCCAAGCCTCTGCCCACTCACCACTCCATTCGTGAATCAATTCATCCGCGTTCATTCATCTCAAATCCACGGTAGCCACCCGTTCTGGATCTCTCCATTAATCAACCTGGAGTGCATCGATCACGACCACACCCATTCACCAATCTATTCGTCTTGTTTTCATGCCCCCATCCACTACCAATCAATTCTTTCACGAATTCATTTACCATATTTACAGGCAGACCAAGAAATGGATGGATGAACTTGACAAGAACAGCCAGAACCAAATCATTTTAGCCAAATCATGAGCAAAAGTGACTCTAAAACCTGCTCCATTACTCTTTTTAATGATTCCATTAAAGTACTGTCTAATAATGACTTTCACTCACCTGAGTAGAGTGGGTATTGCTTTGGGGATAAATTGTCCCAAAAGAACGTTGGTGCAAGGACAAACAACGAACTGGATCCGAAACCCGCCAGAGCCATAGCACAACAAAACACTGGCAGTGCCACTGTATAGTCCGACGCAATCACCGACTCCTGACCAATCCGCAGCAACGTCACTTCTGTCTGATTGCAATACGATCGATCGATAAACGGTGGAGGTTGCGGGGTGGTGCCACTAGTGTTAATTATTGAACACAACACTTCGTTATTGCGCCTACTTCTCATGCCCACCTTTCCTGGATTATACGAGCCCGAGAGCCAATGTGGTAGGGCAAACAGGCCGAAACCCAAGCCGAGAACAATACCCAGGAGACCAATAATTCTTGGTCTATTGTGCCGACGAGCGTTGACGAAAGAGAACCAGATGGTGGAAAAAACCGAAGTCATCTCATAGCAGCAGTACATGTAGCCCACCTGCCGACTGGTGAGATCAAACCTCCGTTCTAGAGTGGTGATTATACTACTTAAGTAGCCTGAGGAGACGAGGGCTTGAAATAAGGCCATAGCACAGAGAGAGATGAGAAGAATGACTGAATTTGCCAAAGGTTGGAGGCATGAAATAAGACAAGCTGTGCCCTTGGTTGCAACCTTGTCAATGGCAGTTGGAAGAGACGGGGACTTTGAAGCACCGATATCCACCTTATCGATACGGTCAGACAATGGAGATGGAGGAAGAGGCGAAGGAGGCGGTTGTCGCGGGGGAGTGTCCACATTGGAGAGGTTGCATTCCTTTTCATCCACGATAGTCGCAGCAGTGGAGGGAAGGAAAAGGGGTGGGGGTGGAGGAAAGTAGATGTGCATTCCTGGATCGGAGGCATTGCGACAGTGCCCCCGAACGTGAGCGATGACCAGACGCGGGGGTTTGATTTGGAAGGCGTGGGGAGAGGTGGCTGAGACTATGCGTCGATGAGCTTTGCAGAAGACAGTGCTGGCACTGTTGGGATGGTGGGGGTATGGTGTGGGACGATGAGGAGGAAAAGGAGGTTCAGGATGCATACACGCATAGACGTAGTTGAGAACACTCTTGTCCCAATCGATAAGGCTAGTATTGGAGGCGGCTTTAGCACCACCTTCAGCACTCCTAACACATCCGTGGGGAGGGTAACAATTCCAAGAGGGTGAACTCATCCTAGAATAGCGGGATTAACTAATTAATATCCTTCAAAGATAGAACCAAGGAAGTCAAAAGATTATTTGTGCTTCATATTAAAATGCACTCATTTTATCGCTTTTGGGGAGAACTCACTAATTTCTAGCACTTTATAGAACCGAAGAAAACTAATCTTGATATGGATACAAATCAAATTCCTTTGGATTAAGGCAGAGTCAAACCACTTAAAGATCTGCGTCGAGGATGGTTTCCTAGACACTTGCACGAAGATAACAAACCATTTAATGATCCCAAAATAATGCAAATGCTTTTCGACCAATGATTGAATGTCTGCAAAAAGACCAAAATATACTAACTTTTGTTCACTGAGGATAAAAAGCATCCAAGAAAGGTGGCTAGTCATCGGATTTCATGAATACAAAAGGAAAATCAGAATATGGACATGTTCAACTCTGAGGAGAAGAGGAAAAACAAAGCAGCATCATTAATCCATCTCGGTATAGCAGAAAGAGAACAAAAAACCGATGTAAAGATTGTAGACTATTGCACCGGTTCGAAATTCGACGATTCATTACAATCAAGTGACTGAAGACAGGCAAAATGTCGAGAAATAGATTTCTGGGATGAAGCCAAGAAGACTACTATGGGTGTTTACGCAAAGAAATTTCAAGAGGTAATTTCAAAGATGAGTTTGCTTTGAAAATTTTGTGGCCAAAATCTAAAGAAGTGAATCACCAGAGGGGAAAGTGTATTACTGACAGCAAATAAACATCCAATTTTAAAAGGGGGTTTTTTACGGAGGGACAAAATGTCTCGAAAATTTTTTGCCAAACACGAAAGCCTGAGAACACCTTTAATTTAAGCGACCTATTGTAGTCCGTAGAAGCCATAAAATTTCAGCAGGTAGTACAGATGTAAAGTAAAAAGAAACAATCATAGTCATTGAATGGAAGAAATGAGTACTAAAATAGCAGTACTAGAATAAGGAAGCAAGGAATAATGGGAATATAGTCATCCTAAAACAGTAAAAAAATCCGAAAATCTAAAGAAAGGATTAAAACAGTTCAGGCGTGGTAACATTTATCAGTTTAACTCCGCAAATTGTTCAAATCAGGAATCATATCTATACAAATCTTCGGAGTTGTAATGAGATAAGATATACGAAGTATAACCAGAAAATAGCCACGCAAATCAAAGGAATGATGGAATACTGAAGCGCAAATTGAATGTCCAACACAATTCACGGGTGAGAATGAAGAATGGTGATGATAGCGCGTCAACGCACACATTCGACGCATGGTCTGTGTGACTCATAAGCGAAATCAACTGCACAAAAAACAAATAAACGGACATATTTACAAACCAGGAAATTAGTTGCACACACAAATACCCTTATAGCAACGCAAAAGGTGTCACGAACCTTTAGCGCGCAACGGACGCACGTGCATAATGCGGGGTATTTACGCTGACACGATCGTTCATTTCAGATTCAAACTTATGCAACGCTAACACCTCGATAATATTATTACGAGGCTACGTAAGAAAAACGAAAAGGCATCAAAAGTGCACGCTCATCAATGGTAAATGCAGGTAGGCCAGATTGGTCGTGACGATACCATAAATGCGTACTACAGCTACAGGCGAAGAGCCGTGTAAAGCAGAAAAACGGTGTATGTAAATTACTAGACCACTCAAAAATTTTTCAAACACACTTCGAAAATAATAGAGGCAAAAAAAGTCATTTAAACTTGCGGCAACATTTTCAAAAGACCCTAAACACATCCGTAAACTTTTAATTAGCTGCTTGTAGTTTGATTTTTTTTTCGTTGACAGTGTCCCAAGCGCTCAGTGTTTAAGTTTCGGCTTAATGCTTTTGCAATGCCGTCAAAAGCTTTTGAAAAGCCTTACTGTTTTTCTGCATTTTCCTTACAAAATGCGTGTTAAGGATGATACTCCGGCGCCCCACATTCTTTTCAAGCCAAAACATCAAAACCACATTTTATAAGGCAAGACCAAAAAATCTCGGTGGTTAAGGCATTTTCTACCAACCAAGGGAAAACAATTATTTTCAAGCTTTAGTGAAAAATTTACGTATTGCGTTTTAGTTACTTCACTTTTTGTGCAAGACCGTATTCTACGACAAGCTAATATTTAATGGATTGTATTTCATGTGCTTTGCTAATGATTCATGCCTTATTTTATTTAGAAATAATTTTGGGATGCCTTATTTTCTTTCTAAGGTTGTGATTGGCTACGTGACCATTCTGCCTTTCCCCCATTGGAGTATTTCTTTATTGTATGTGTATGGCGCTGTCTCGCTTTTCCTCGCGTAGGCCGTTGCTTTTTGTCCGGTTACCATCGATATTCACTTCCCATGGCTTGCAATTGGCTGCTCGAGGGGATTTCGAGCCTAAAAAACCACCACCGTTTGATTTCCTCAGCACGGGCTACCCACAATGGCTCATGTTCGACAGGACCAAACACCGGTTCACCGAGAACACAAAGTTTATATGCGTTGAGGGGAACATAGCTTGTGGAAAAGGGCACGTGGCGAGGAAGATCGCTGAATGTTTTGGGATGGATTATCGTCCGGACCCCACCGATGATTCGATTTTCACGCTAAAAAACTACAATCCTCCCGTTGATGTCCGAATGCACAATACCATGCTGCCTAAAGGAGCCCAGTACTTTACTACTGAAATGTTTTGGACTGAAGAAAACCTTAAGGAAAATGGAAAACCCATGTACTTGCAATACCAGTATTATCTAAACCGATACTGGAATTATCTCATCGGCCTTTGCACTCTATTCAACACCGGAAAGGGGGTTGTTACTGATCGCAGCCACTTCTCTGATCTGGCTTTTGTTGAAGCTCTCCTAAACTGCGGATACATCTCAGAATATGGTGACCATTTTTTTACTTTTTGGTTATCTCTATTTCAGCTCATGACTGGTTCGGCTATTTGCACGCCAACACCGCGCTAAATCTGTGGAAGCCCCATCTGATTGTGTACATCAAAACAAATACCAACCAAATTCGTGAGGGCATCAAGAAGAAGGGGATTGTGAGTACCCAGGATTGTTGTGATTTTGTCTTTTATAGGCATGGCAAATCAACGCAAGAAACCTGGGTGACGACTTCCTCTGTGAGTATGAAAAATCTCTAGAGATGTACCTGGAGAAAATGTCTCGTTACTCCGAGATTTTTGTCATTGATCGCACCAATACGGATATCTATAATGAGGATGATCTCCTTATTGTAGGTCGTATTGGATTTTTTTGTTAAATTTCGTTTCCTTAAAATACTTAATGCCCATTTGTGTTTTTTCCAGATTATGGAAAAATTGACCGATATTGATTACGAAGGTGAGCGTTTGATTCGTGATGACTACAAGTTTCTTGAATGGCGAAACGGTCTGTTCAACGAGCGGTCTGCCACTGCTAATCGGGCAAAGTGGGTATCGACGAGTCCCCTCTTTCTACTCTACTTTGCCTCTCTGACTATTTTATAAGCTCCCCTCTCTCCACCTCTCAGATTCTCCTCAGCAATGATGAAATTCACGACGCAATTCAAGAAATTCCACATGCCCTTGGATATGACGGACGGTGTTTACAGTTTTGATGCCAAGGAGCTTCAATATCTTGTTTACAAGAGGGTGAGTTTCGTTTCTAACCCTATTCTTATTCTCTGCCTACCTTGTTTTAATACTTGTATAGGCGGTTTTGTGATTTGTCTATTTCTCGTTGTATTTGCGGTTGTGGTATTGCTTTACTTCTATCCAATACCTATGCATTGAGCGCTGGTTTGGTGTTGAAGATGGTCGGATTTACCTGTTCTTATTTTGCTCGATTTTACGGGCATCGATCAAGTTGTGCTATAATATCATCCACTATTAGGCATTGATATTGAGTTGTTTCGGTCCAATATATCGGCAATGGATGCCGTTTTGAGGTTAAAGCTAGTCTTATTTATTCTGTTCTCTGAATGTACTTTCATGCCGTGAGACGATTTTTTGACAATTTTATTAAACTTGAGGTCTTGGTCCCGTTTCATTTCTTTTCAACTGCGTAACCATTGAAACATGAGTTTGTTATTAAAATTGTTTAGATTTATCCATTCTAATCCTACATGATTGTGTTTGGGCAGTTTTATTTTCATTTACTTAGTTTCCTTTTTGCTGTATTTTCATTAAATTCTGTTTTATTGTCTTTCTTCCGTCTCCTATCTGTAAATCCATTCCACTGCTTAAATTTTCAGCAACATAGAACACCCTCTGTCTCTATCAAGTTAAGTCTGTATTAGAGTTGATGTACCGACCCAGTTTAATAACATAGATGACAAATGGGCATCTGAACCTCGAGATAATGCATTTTTTACTGGTAGGAAAAGTACGTCTATACTTCTAGCGCCTATCTTAGTGACCGACAACAGCTTAATCTCAAAGTGGTATCTACTGGTCTGATCTTAAATTTGCGCATGTCATCGGTTTTCGTTTCAGTAGTTTGGAGCAAATGTATCGTTATGACCCCACTGAATTCGTTTATTTAAATTCACAATTTTGGGTTTTTTTATCTTGCTGATTTCCCACACTAACTGTTTTTCTGTCTGTAGTAATCTTCCTAAGTTGTTCATATTTTCCAAATTCTCATCTGTGTGAAATACTATCTCCATTCTCATTCTCTTCCCTTTCTTACTATACTGTTAGGTGCGATTTACGAGGCTGGCTTATTTTTTTTACACTTGATTCGGAAAAGATGTCTCATTTTAATTGTATTTAGATAGCGATGATGATCTATCACTGCACCTTTAATGACTGGCATTGTACTTGGGTTAGTGACCGCAGACATTACAGTTATTCCCAAATTATTTTGCAATTATCTGCTTTTATCCGAACTTGTTTTCGAGAGTAAAATCACCAGGAGCTTCGAGGACGCGTGGCAGAGTTGCATGTTTTCAACCTTCACAACGGTGGTATAGAGCTCAAACCCCACTACGAATTTGACCCTCAGCTCATGAGGGTCTTTCCTGTAAACGTCCGATTTAGTGCGTGGAACTCCTGATCCTAGACGTTTGAGGGACGCATAATCCGTGGGGCATTGAAAACATGCAAGAGATCAATATCGCCATTCCAGGCGGTATGTTTGCTTCAAAATAGCAAGTTCATAAAAAGAAATTCAACACTCACGTCTTCGGAATTCCGAGCTGTCTACTTTTACCTAGCTTAAGACGGGACTCAAACAGGTCTGAGTAGTGATCCAGCCCTGCCAAGATCCGCTAGTATGACTTTTCAATAGTCTAGTCAACTTCTTATATTTAAGTAGTAGTAAGCTGATGTATATTTGCCTTTGAAGGATCCCAGATTGAAGTACCGCCCGGGCTACGATCCCTCGAAGGACAGTATGCCTCGACTTCTCTTTGATCCCTGGCTGGAGACGCGAAACTTCCGCAAAGATTGGCCCACCTACTTTCTCACGTTCTACTAGTCTCATCTCTGACGTGTTTAGGCTTCTGTAGAAAATCTACATTTTTTGTCCCCTTGTTTTTTGCCAAGGGAAGGGTTTTCTATCAAGCATCAAGTGCTTTCACTCCACTCGAGAGCTGCCATCCCATTAGTCCGCAAATTTTAGTTCTGAATGTCCTATTAGCTAGACAACTTGGGTAAGTGATAGACAGTGTTCTTTTGAGGAGGAAGGAGGCATACTCGCGGATCATAACCTTAGGGAGCATTTTGAAGTGAACCCCAATACTGAGTGAATCTGCGATTATGAGACCTCGAGCAATGCACTTCTGGTAAAAAAATTTGAAGTGCGTAGGCTTCCATTTCTCATGTCATCAACTTGCTGAACAAGATGGTACGAGATGTATGCTCACTTTGGTGGTACCTCAGGCTAAAACGGCTTCGGTAGGAGTTGGAGATCATGATACTGGGGTGATTACGGCATTCCGTGGTTTAGTCGTCGTCCTGTGTAACACTTTCTAATGTAAAACAAAACAAAAGTGGCCAAGCCCGGATTATCTGTCCCAACCTTTAGGCTGTGTGCGTAGGGCGGAAAAGGCGGAGTAAGTATTCACCTAATTTGCCAAGGCCAAGCGCATCAAAATCAGAGCCTGCTCAACTCATAATTTGCACCGCTATTTCGTTTTATTGCACCATTTGAGATTACATTCATCATGGTATACGACAGCAGGCTCGCAACCGTTAACTTTTCTCCGGCAAGTGTGAGCTGATCATATAGGAAAAAATCTTTACTGCTGTGCTGTGTTTAAAGCCAATAACTTTAGTGTCATGAAAGTATTTTATTACTTACTGGCGGGGTGGAAAACCAATTATCACAGGTTAACACTTAGATAATTTGTATACGTGCATGCTTTCCAGTGACATACTGGTACGCATACATACAGCTCTGGGAGTCTACAATGGCATCTTACGCACATACATCATTATCCAGATAAGAAATCGACAGAGTGCAAAACGGACAATTAAAAATTCATTCTTATGAGTGGGCAGTTTTTCTTTCCAAAAATTGGATGACACGAGAAAATCACTGTAGAAGAACTTGGCTACCTTCTGCGCAAAACCTTCGGACTCTCGTTTTAGGCTCCAAATATTAGAAATGAACAGCTCTGCAAGAACGTAGTTTGAATGATTTAATAAATTTCAATCAAAATCCTTAAAATCTACAGGGCTATCCTTATCTGTCATTGGCCCCCTATTTATCATTAAAGCATCCGATATGCCCCAGTTAGGGATTCTCGACTTCGGAGATTACCGACTCCGCTAAGTGGTTAAGATCGTAATCGGATTTACAGAAAGGCACCAGAGGTTCGCACTCTGGAGGCTGGGTTACTGACCTACATGTCCGAAGACTAGTCCATACAGAACACCAATACCCACAATCCTCCTCACGCCCGACTCTGCTCCCCTTTACCCTCAGTAGAGGTACACTGGCACCATTTACAAGGGAAAGCCGTCTGAATTGAGTGGGTCCAAAGGCACTACCTAAGCCAGCCTGACAACCACTAAGAGGTTACAAATGACACGTACTATCATCATCATCATCAACAACAACAACGCATATTTTGCGCATCGTCACCATCAGCACAAAATTTGCCCCTTGTCCCCTCAAGTAGACGCATTCGGAGCCAGCGAGGGTGGAGGACTTCAGAGGGGAAACGGAGAAATAAGAGGCGAAGAAGGGTAACAGGAGGACGCAGTGATGCTTGTATGGGCTGGTGATGGGAGGCGGCAGAAGACCCCCCATGAAACAAAAAGTGACCGCTGAATTGCAGACGCGCGCATACAAGCAGATAAAAGAGGAAACACACAAAGACGTCAAGTAGGTTAGCTGGGCGGAGGGATTGGAGCGACAGGTTGGAGTGGGAAGTAATCTTACTACTAAGTGTCACCGCGTTCGCGGCGTCTACTTGAATCGTGATCGCTGACGCCGGTTGCGAGAACGGCCCAGGCAGAAGCAGCAGCTGAGGCAAATGACGAGGAAAAGAAATGCGACTTTACTAAGCTGAAAAAATCCATCAAACAATCCGATTAGGCAATTCTAGACCCAATTACAACGACAAAAGCCTCTGATTAGATACCTGGAGCTAACCAGCACACTGGTTACGTCTAGATCAAATCACACTCACCCACAAGCCTGCGACCCGGAAGAGGCGTCACCTGCGCCTGGTGGAGCCACCTTGTTGGACGTGGTGGCAAGGTTCATGGGGGTGGATTGCGGGTTGCCACCACCAACCACAGAGAGGTGAGAGTATCCGATGTTGGCGGGGTTGGTGACAGATGAGGAGGTAGGTGGTTGACCGTGTGGCACCTCGGAGAGCGGCATGTCGCTGGGCCGTATAGATTCGCCTCCCAGCAACTGCTGCAGAGGGCCATGAATCGTTGTTGATATTTTTCACACATTACTTAGCATACAAGTAGACATTCCTAAATTTAATCGTTGATTTGACTATGTGAATGGATCTCCACGGTGATGGCGTGAGTCACTGCTTTCAGTCTTCCAGTCTTTTCGTACAAGTCAACAATAAAGCCTCCTCCAAATTTGGATGACTTAAAATGCCTTCAAGAGGTAGGCAAAGCTAACTGAAAAACAATAAGAGCCGATAACGACATCCAAGTTAAGATCAAGCTATGAACATATTCCTTTTCAGCTTGCATGATGATGACATGGAGCCAAAGCCTTCTCTACGCTAGGACGAAGGTGGCCCTAAACCCACACTAGCTATTCCTGTAAGGAGGTAATTCAGTGCATGAAACGTTTATTCCCAGACACCTGAGGGAGAGAAACATGGCCTGTCGTGTGCCGAAAGTCCGCAAAGTACGAATCCTTCTGCAGTAGGAAGGCCTAACACAACCATTCACGAGCATTTACAATGTCAAAGAGCTTTTCACGCAACAGTTATAACACTGAGTGATAACTCTATAAATGTTGCAGGAAACTATATCGGAGAATTAAAAGAAGCTGCTTTTATAAACTCCAAAGTATCAGTTTGATTGGAATCCCCGCCTCCGGCAAAGACTCAGAAACAAATCACCTTCAACCTATAAACTCCACTGGGGGTTACAAGTGGGAAAAGCCTTTTTATTTCGTCTCACCTGTTCATCACCATTGGCATGTAACTTTCGCTGCTCACTAGGTCGACGACCCGTGAGCGCTGTGTCACCTCCCGCCGCCGGCGTTGCTGCACCCGACCAATAGGCGGAGGAGTTGGGAGGGAGGTGGGGGACAGGGTGGCTGGAATGACCCACATTGGCGGTGTTAGAGGTGATAGGATCCGTTGTAGGTGCTTGTGCTGCAGGAGTAGTGTTGGCGGTCAGGTTATTTTGATGGCCCGACGAGCTGCCCTTCAGCGGATAAAGTTTATAGACGTAGTTCAGGAATGCCGAATAGAGCGAAGACACTAAGGTACTATAAAGCACCATCGAAATGACCAGGAACGTACTCGGGGAGCACCTGGAAGTGGACGATAGCACCAGTCAAACTCCCAATCGCAATCCCATCGCTGGCGTTTCATGAGATCGGTGAAAATCCACCGCAGGTATTCGTAGTTGGGTACCTCGAAGAAGTCCAGACTTCGCACGTAGCGCAGGTACGTGGCCATTTCTGCAGAGATCAAATAAAAACTCAGCTAGGCGATCGGTCAGGTGGAAGATTATCCGGCAAACATAGACAATAGTTGAAGCCAAGATTGACGCTTTGTGGACTGCTCCCCCCATGGAGTTTTTTGTCAAACAATGTGTGAACACGATGGTAGCCCGTCACTATAAGATTTGATAGCCGGCAATCAATTCCATGCGATTAGTGTCTTGAAGAGTCAATTCATTGACTGGTCTCAAAGACATACTCCATTCAAAAGTTCCACACTAATAAAAACACACCGCCACTGGAGTATATAATTTGTCTGATTAAGACCGCTGATTTGAATAATTAAAGCTAAATAGCCATCATTAAACGGGTTCATTCCATCACTTTTGGGTTCAGTACACAAAACTGCCTAAAAGTTATCAAGATATCTTGTCGCACTATTAGCATCATCGCCTTCCATCAATGCATTCTCAAGGAGCCTCACAGCTAAGCACAATTTTGGTTGACTTACGATTCGTTAAGTGAAAGGTCACTTGTTAATTGTAATGATCGAAAAGGACTATTTGGCCAATGCTAAGTTAGCTTTGCAGTCGATATGAATAGGACCGCAGGAGAATTCCGGCTGATTCGCTGAGGGATTATCCTTTTTCATCGACCATTTCTCACTAATGCTCGAAAAGGATGACTTAGTTAGTGCTAGGGGTTAGGCATGAAGTGGTCAGTATTCACAGAACAATTGTTGTGGAAACCGTGCATTGTCCTGGATACCTTTAGTTACCTTTAACCATGAATTCTACTGTAGGACGAACGGATTCGGTTGATTGATAGTTAGTGAGAAATCCCCTACTGACGTGGGTTTTAATCTAGCCCTGACCCCTCAAATGAGCTAGGTACCTACAAGATCGAGAGAGTGGCAGCGGACTTTGTTGGCCGCCTGGGAACGGCTGTATAAGATGAAGCGGGGAGACACACCTATTCGTGCATTGCAGCATAAACTACGTCTGCGACCCCGGACCGATTGAAAAGATGAGACAGAGATGGAGAGATAAAGAGGTTTCGCTTCCACATGTACTCAACATTTAATCACAAATACACTCGTATCATTGCTAGGTGAAGCCATAGCTCCCGTTTTCATGCAAATAAACCTATAAAATTTAAAGCGGTCGTCTAATCATCCTTCAGCTATGAAATCTCATTTTCTTCTGTACCCCGTTTTGCGTAAAAATAACACTTCGATGTGAACTTAAAAGCGGTCAGAGTCGGAGGACCAATTTTACTTATAAATTATGAAATTTTGCTTCTGGTAGAGATAATGAATTGGCAGAGCTTTCAGTAAAGATTAAAAAAAATGTACCATGATGATAAAACTGACGTGAGAGTTGAATTACAAAGGGGGAACATTGTGCCTAAAAATAGTAATCGAAATGGGATGAAATACAAAAAAGATGATTAAAAAAATAGCAAATCAAACAACAAGGAACGAGTAAAGAAGTGGATACTACGGGGTGGAGATTCTGATAATCCAGCATTCCGATAATAACCCCATCGAAAGATTGCAAAACCGGCTCAAAAGCACAAAACTGTGACTAGTATAAGATGAAACCCCTCCATTGGATGGCCACTGCATGGGTAGAAATCAGTGCCTGCTAGGCCAGCTTTAATTTGCAAAGATGCGTAAAAACGATTTTAACGTCATGATTTAAAAATATATGAAAGCAACAGATATTCAGCTAAAAATAGAGCACTAGGTAAGTGTGAACAAGCTCAAATGAATCATGAAATCAAAAAACAGACCCAAACTCGGTTCAAGAGATTGTAAAACAAATTCAGTAAACCCTAGTAGGAACTCCGGTTCAAATGGGTAAAAAAACCTGAAAAGAAAGCTTTACTAGGAACAAAAAGCCGTCTCGAAGTGCCTTAAACGTAGGCCTAAATGCTTTTAAAAGTTGGCAGTAGATAGGCGAAAAATACAGTTAAGCAGGCAAAATAAACGCCCCGAGCTGGATAAACTTTAGGCGTTAAAAGTATTACCCCATATAAATTAGTAGAATGGGAAAGATTGAACTTAAAAATGACCTCAGAATAATAAATTAAGAAAATCAAAAAGAAGGGGGAGATAAACATCCAAAAATATCTCAGAAATTAGATTAAAAGGTCACAACTTCAAAATTAATTAAAACTCCTTAAATTCAGCGTCAGTTTGGGTAAGCTTAAGCGGAAAATGGTTTTTGCTAGGGAATATGGGAACGTCTCAAAATAGGTTGAAAATAATCAAGCAGTAGATAAACAAATGACCAAAAGTAGATTTTGACAATGAGCAATAAACCAAAGTTCAAATGGTTCGAAAACACTGCTATTTGGAAGAAACAAAACCTGCAAAAGAGCAAGGTCAAAGTGCTAGAAAGAGAAAAGGTGAGAGCTGGGAGACAGACGGACCTGGATAGCCTTGGCAGAGGACTTCAATGGGAGTGGCACACTTCGTATCACCGATCTTCTGATACCGTTCGCGCAGATTGTCCGCCTTGAGGCCCTGCCAGGGCAGAGAGCCACGGAGGAAGTAAAGGAACATGTGACCCAACGCCTCTAGATCGTCACGACGCGATTGCTCTGCAAAAACAATTGAAGAGAAATGAAGCGAACGTGACTAAAAGAGAGGTCTGTCCCCACGCCTATCAATCCCCAATACATTAATCCATTCACCAGTCCATCAATCCAATCCTATGGTCAAAATTCGTTTGTTTGTTTGCCCATCCACCCATTCGGTTGCTAATCCCAAACATGTCCACCCGGAAATGCACGAATCTAAGCAAGCGTTTATTTACCCCAAATCTACACTCACATGTTCTCGACCCATTCTCTACCCAATAATATACTAACGCAATCATTTTCTTTCCTACCAAATATAACCATCATTCTTTCAATACATCTCTTACGCATTTCCCAATCCATACATACACTCATTCCAATTTTTTCAGTTCATCTATCTATCTCAGATCCACTCATTTGTTTATGCATCCACCCATTCATTTACATACCATCTCAGACCCATCCATTCGTCCATCCAACCCTGAACTTTCCAACCATCAATTTATTCGACCACTCATTTAGCACTCCATTCAACTATCCATCAAATTATCTCGGCTTCAGCTATCCATCTTGTATTAAGCTACCTATCCCTGTAATATATTAAACACTATTTAGCCTTCAGTTCTGAGAGGATGTACCGCATAAGGAATTTCATCGAAATCCACACCACAAGCATTATTACTACTACTGGTTGAAATTAGGAGTTTTCTGGACGTGAGCCATTACACCATTACATCTTAGTAGCATGCGACTTTAGGGTTAGCAGAATTGCAATCATGAAGTAGATAAGTGAAATAATCATGTGAAATTAAATTTTACAATTACATATACACACACACCAAAAGAGGTTTGCGTACCCACAAAAATACGTTCCGGTAATGTGTGCTAGGGTGACAAGGGTGCCAATAAAGGAGGACTTGACTCCAAGCGAAGTCATGAAATTCCCCTACCGATTAAGCTTTTATCGGAGAGACGATCGTGAACAATAGCAACTGTTGAATGTGTTCTATATGAGTAAATCTGCAAAGGCCAAGGTGACAAAAAATACCTCAGATACGAACTCTCAGGCAAAATAAGTGACTGAAAGTTGGGACCACGCAATATTACCTTTAAAAAATGAATGACACTTGAAAACAGGGTCTTTTTAAACATCCTTAACGTCCCATGTATGCCGGAAAGATGAAAAGAGGTAATTAGCCACGTCTTGCGCTGTCATGTGCCCGCTCCTGTCAGACAATCCGACTGACTTTACAATGGCAAGGCTCAGTGCTCCTTGAAATGAATATGATTCTGGATCGGCAAGTTTACTGAACCGTTGTAGAAGGATGGAACAGCCTTCTATCGTCTTCTAGACATTGTGGGCAGAGGGGTGCACTGAAAGCACAAATTCATCTCGGTATGGTTTTACATTTAACTGTTTGAAAACGATCGAATTATTAGTGCAACGAATTCGGAGAGCCTTGGACGGTCCCGCGGTTACGACTACGAAGAATGAAAAAAAGGATACCTTGGAGGTGACCCGCCAAAGGCAGACTGAAAATAACTTATCACTTACCACTCCGTTTTGATCACCATTGCAAAGAGAGGATGAGCTATTCTTCAACAAAACAAAAGTTGTACAGAACTACAAACGAGATGAATTAAAACGACATTTGAAATGATTAGTCTTTTCTACTGATTATCTAACTACTAAAGCATTTTAAATTTACCAAGAAATTTGTGAACAGGTAAGTAGCTAAGGCAAATCAGGACCTCATTGGGCGCTATCACGACGGGAAATCGTACTCTTTCCAAAAAACGACAAACCAACCAGGATTTATGGAGCAATAAGAAGGGAAAAAGCTAAGCTAAATCACTTGGTACCTCCACAACTTGTCAGCCAAATAACATGTTTAGTGGGATTAATGGAGCAATAAATCAATTTCTAAGCGCCAGTAGGCACCTGTACCAAAGAATAGGCGGATAAAACAGAACGAGCTTCTGCAGACAAGAAAACAGGACAGGTTTAAGTTTTCTAGGCCTCCGTAAAAAGGGGCGCTACCGTAGCAGTGCTACACGTAACTAGAAGTACAAATGGCAGGCGTACATTATCGAGCTTGGAAAAGTCCTTTTCAAACACCTTTCCACAAGGTAGTAGGCAGCGGGACCAGTGGGTTCGTATATAAAAAGCATGAAGTGACGATGAATTATCATGTGAACAAAATACCGAATGCTACAAACACCGGAAATACAATGGAAACGCTGAAGTTGGGTGGACAATTGCGGCAAACCTACCGTTAAATTGCGCAAAAGATTTACTATTGCAATGATGGAGGCAATTGTTGATGGCACGGGTATCAAAGTGAGGTAGGTTGACCTAGCCCAGTTCAGCCGTACTGAAAATCCTCTGTATTAAAGCTGCTTTTCGGACACAGTCGCAGTCTGCGCTTCAAATTCTGTTTTCTTTTAATAATATTAGAAGCCTCTGCATAACTTAAGTGTCTCGTTTGAAAAATTCAACGACATCTCAACTGAGTGGTCAATCAATTTAGGGGATATCTTGCATAAACTCCTCATTGTGGACCACTTAATCCGATCACAATATCAGGTGGCTAATCAAACAGACATGAGAGGACATTAAATTGACAAATAAAAGAAGGAGCAAACCTTTGCCAAGATGTGTATTGATACTCATGTAACGCGCGGTGCCAGTAAGGCTCTTGTGGTCCTTGAAGGGGATGTGCTTCCCCGTATCCTGATCGATGTACTCCTTGGCAAGCCCGAAATCGATCATATAGATGATACGGTGGCGGTCGTAGGATTGGCGCCCTATGAGAAAGTTCTCGGGTTTCACATCCCTGTATATTAGGTGGTGTGAGTGCACGTACTCAATTCTCTGCAGCTACACAAAAGCACAGGAAATACACAAAGAATTTATTACAAGTAAATTAAGCATACTCACCCGTAAAGGGGTAGCTCGAGTAGAAAAACAAGACTCGCAGCTACACAACGATATGTGGCTTCATCTGCCTATCCACTCACCGAACCACCAGTATGGGGATTGTCTATTAATTCGTTTCAGATCTGCCCCTTCATTCATTTATCCGCGATCTTTTCGCGACCCACATGCCCATTACAGAAGCATAAATCTACCCCATATCCATGATATAATAGAATCCATATCTACTGTCCATAATTGCCCCAACTACTTGACACAAAATCACGACTTTCGCAATGAGAGCTGCCACTAATTAGTCAGCTCATCGCTACGTTCAGAATACACCTTACTGAAGTTCCAAAGAAGGCACTACTTGTAAGTGGGTCGAGTGGCTGCTATTGGAGACTGCAGAAAATGAGTGATCTCAAGGTGGCTCAAAGCAGGAAGGCTACTGAATTCAAGTCGGATCGTGGAAGCGCCCTTGATCTCAAGTTCTGGTTAGTGATTAAAAATGTGGCAAAACCAACTCGTCCACAAAAGGGACAAGCGCTGCCAAGCTGGCAACTCAAAGATAGCTTCGTCAAACTGGCAGAGTCCTTCACACCATCTATACTCTTTATCTGGGTTACCTGTAGACTCCCACGCCCTATAACTTCTTTTACCCTAGCCATCTTACGAAAAGATTATATTTTGTGATTTCACAGATGAGTAACTAACATGCGATAAGAATAAACCAGGAAAAGGAAAGAGATTACCTAAGTAGAATATAGTATCCAAAAATGGACACGAAAGAACTATTAAAACCTCATCAACAGCTCAGTATTCGTTTCAAATCTATTTTGTGATCAGTAGTAGAGCATAAGACCTGGACTAAATGAGTTCATGCTATCCATAAAAACAATCTGGATACGGTTATCTTCGCGAAAAAATAGAAACGACTAGTAACATCAAAAACAGCCTAGATAGGGAGCCGAGTAGCATTTACAATGCTACAAAGAAGATGGAACTAACGAAATCAGAAATAGTGTAATTAACGGAATTGGCAGACTTTTTTATCCTACGATCAGAGATTGGTGTATGAAATATCTTTACTGTAAACCATCAGCTGGCCCTAAGCAATGCCTTTAAAATTAGCCACAGCGAGATCTTAACGACGCGTCTCTATCATGGAGCTCAGAATTCTTCCCACTGCAATGAGCTTCATTCCTGTCTCGCAGTTAACTGCGATTCGCCCATATGCTGCCATGATGGCAAACGCAGAAACCTAGTCACAGCGAGGGTCGAGACGCTCAAAGTTGGGAAAGTTATGTAGCAAAGCTACAGTTAATCGTGAGCATTAACTCGCGATTTGCCCTCCATATGGACGGCATGAAGCTCCGCTACTAGCTTATCGGGCATTCTATACATCGAAACCAATGGTCCTTCGGGAATCATTGTGACATCTTTAGACGATAACTGGAGGGCTATATCAGTGGAACATCATGTGCATTCTGTGAAGAATGCTATTTACTGTGGAGGAAAGGTATGTGTCATAAGTGGGGGAATCGTCGGGGACTCACAGAAGAAAGGTCATCAAAACCACGTCAATTTTAGGAAGTGCCTCAATCTCAAATTGCCCATTATGGTCAATGAAGGGATGAGACAAACACTGAATGAATTTAAACCGCTCATAAGGAGAGTCCTAAATGCTTAGTCAAATCGCTGATTCCAAGGTCACAAAGTGAAACATCCAATCACCTCCAAACAAGTAAAATAAACTCACTAATTGGAGAGCGATCATAATGACGGTTTTGAGAGAGAATTGGCGATTACAAATTTCGAATAGATCTTCCAGGGAAGGACCGAGGAGTTCCATTACGAGGGCATTATGTCGTCCCACCGGACCGAAGTAGTAGACCATGGGGAAACCGACTGCAAAAATCGGAAGAAGTGGGGTGGCATGAGAAATGGGTTGCTGCTATCGCTCGCCGCCATTAGTAGCGACAGCATTTTTTCGCTGAAAATGCTACTCAATTCGTCTATTTCCGGTGCAGGGCCAGGGCTATCATTCTAACCGAATGCAATTACTCAGCTAATAGGATACTACCATTACAGCTCACCAAAGGTAAAGAAGACAGAAATCCAAATGGACAATCCTAGAGGTTTAGCCGAATGGAACTGACCAACCGAAGAGGTGACAGCAGTCACCTCTAGAGGGAAATCGAAGAATAATTATGTTTATTAATGGTAAACAGCTACCTCTTTACGACCAAGGGTAGCTGTTACATCAGTGGTTATTACTTTGTTTATTTGTGCTCCGACAAAGCCAAAGTACCACGAGAGAACTATTTCATAATGAGATGGAGAGAGGAATAATAATGCTAAAGACTAACCGTTTCAATGGAAGTAGTGAGTCAGCTGGCCAAGAAAAATTCAACAGAATTAACTGATGAAAGAGGACTTTTAAAAGAGTAAAATGCAATAAAAGTGAACGTAAATTAGCAATAAGACTATGAAAAATCAGGTCATAAAACGACGAAAAGTCAAAATTGAGTTGATAAACAACCAAGTACCAATGTTATAAATGAAAGTAAGCAATTCCCAGAACTAAGTAGCCAAAGATGCGAATCATAAAATCTGAATCTGAACAGAACAAGGATAACAGCTATTTTGTGTTTTACGAAAAAAAGTTAGGATCATACCGACAAAGTTCATGTAACTCATTAAAAACCAGAGAATACACCTCTGTCAAGGCCCACGGAACCAGCCAAAGGTGCCACCAAAGCATCATCTTACGAAGTCTAACATTAAGAAACTCGATGCAGTCAAAACGAAAAAAAGTTGCCACGGTTACTGAAATGGACTGCAATACGATGCTAAACCGGGATAAAAAAGGCGGATAAAACATTCATAAACAGTGGCACCAACCATGATGGTTAAATAGCTTGATAAATAAAGATGAATTAGATGAATGAATTTTGATAAGTACGCTGATGTATCTCTCGCGTTTTGGACGCTCTCAGGAAGTCAATTAAGTAAACCCTAAATAACGCAAAAAATTAGAAAGTAAACCCCAAATCGCTGACGATTTCTAGGTCATCAAAATTCCGGACCATTTAACTATGTCACGACCTAAAAAAATATCGAGGCATGATCCTGAACCAAATCAAACCAATTCAATGAATATGTTAAGTCTTTGTGACTTCAAAAATTGGATTTACTATCGAACTTGATTCTGGAAAACTAATTTTAGCAAATACACCAAGAATTGAGAGAAGCGACGCAGACGATCGAAAGCCGACCAACGAAAATACACTATCAAAGAGCCTCGTCCAACGAAAAATCACCATGCAAAGGATGCACACACAACACAGAAACGGTGTTTCGATTTCATGCACAATGCATTTGGCACAGCAGTGCATAATCGTGACATTAACAAAACAGCGTAAACCAATCCGTAGGACAAGGGGTTGTAGTCAATATTAACTCTAATGAGCACACGCTCACTGATTGAATAATTGGAGTTAGCCGCAAAAATTTCCCGCGATAGTACTTAAGATCGATTAACTTTATTCCCCATGATTTGTGCATTAACTCATTAATCATCACAAAGTGATATCTGATACCTTGACAACTGAGTAAATCGAATTTAAATATCTACTTTTTGAGTGCCACTGACCACCGATCAAAACATAGAGATTACTCCGGATTCAACTTATAAAAAAATATAGCAAATATGAAGAAATAAAAGGCTTTTTCAGCATCCGCTCCATGTGGTTAATCAGCTAGCAGTGCGGAGATATGAATTTATAAAATTGGCCTATTAATCAACCAAGGTACGATTTTACTAACAGTGACGGTGTCATCCTTAATTAACGTTTCCCGTTTGAAGAGCATAAAGTTAATGCGAAGTCTGCCAGTTCGTAATTGAGAGCGTTATGACTTTGATCTGGACGATTGAAATTCTAAATAAATGGCCTTTGAATAATTTAAAATTATGCCTTTAACAGAGAATATCAAGTAGCACTCCAATCTGTTAGCCAAATTAATCACACCACTTATAACAATGTTGATGACTAAATCGTAATTCCTGTAATAACATAGATCATTGCTGTCACAAACAAAATAATGGCAAGATTTGATTTATTCTGTTCGACACTAACAAGATACCAGGAGCATTAGCTACTGCCAATCAAAATACAAGGTTTACAGTCAAACCAACTAACAACACAAACCAATGGCCAAGAAAGAAACACGAGCCAATGGCAGATCTCTAAATAGAAGAACGCATGCACTGACAGCAAGGTGACCTTTTCAGCATTTAATCAAGTAGATATCACATTAACGATGACAGACGAGTGTCTAAGTAAAATGATTCCCTTGATACTTCATAACCGCGAATAACGCGGTGATAAACAACCCTCTGTTAAAAAGCTGGCCTACATGATGCCAGTATGCAATCAGCCAGTTGGCGAATGAACGCTTTCTAGTCTTTCAAGAGAGTATTACCAGCCAAAGGTGAATCTTCAAGCAAAGAGAACAAAGACGGCAGGTTACAGCTTTTCGGGTATCTGTGTAGATTAAGCTGCCAACCGGCCAGTTAGTTGAATAACCAGAGAACACGTAGAAAAATGTTCTTCCAACACTTCTGGAGACAAATAGACCACCAATTTGTCAGGTCAAGTGATGACACCCAACATTTCTCTAATGAAAATTTGAACTGCACAAAGCTACAATCAGCAGTCAATCGGCAAGAAAATAAAATCGACTCAGTTTTGCCTCCAACTAGTGTTTTGAATTTTCGCTTCTCATCATGATTTTAGCTAAAATCGAAGCCAAAAATTAAACATCTAACTAGTACTATTGACAACAGCATCGTAACCCGTGTACTGTGCTGCTAGTGGATACCAATGAAAATCCAGAGATTGCAGCGCCATCAACCAATGAAAATGCAGCTCATAGATAGCAGCGCCAACCAATGGCCTTTCGCCAAGCGAAACGACACGCGTCCGCACGCGGACAGAGAAACACGACTTTCTGGTGCTTGCGTCACCTTCGTTCTGTGTAGACGGTAGAGCACGTAACTGTCGCGACAGCAGCGGGCAAACGACGCAAGCGCGCGCCTACGCACGCTGAGCGAAGCAACCGAGACCTACGCGTGGGAGTGTGTGTGCACATCGACGTCACAGCCGGTGAGGAGGCAAATAGGCAACTAGTGTGTCCATCTGCATGCCTCCTTCTTTTTGCGCTAGCTAATATCCACTGTCTCAAAGTCCGCTCTAATTGACTATTACGGCTTATCCCGATTGAGCAAATGCGCTTACCATGATGTGGGACATAGGGCTGAGTGGGCACCAAAGCAGATGTTCAGAAAAAGGCAAGACGCATCTACCGATTTTTCGCAAGCTAAGCAGCAGAGGCAGCGGACAAGGTTTCAATCGTTAAGAAAGTAATCTTCCCAATCTTCATGTGTCCTCCTCAGGTATACTGCTGTTACTCCATGGGCAGACCAGAAGACAACCAGTCAGGCAACTAGCGTGATTGCCTGTCTACTTCCTTCGTGACAGGCAGTTTACACACTTGATTGGTTTGACTACCTTCGAGATCATTAATGAACACATCCGATCATAAAAGCTGCAAAATGTGACTTGATTATCAACTTCGAAGTATTTTGCCCTAACCGTTTTCAGATGTCTTCATTCCCCACGATTCGATTTGCGGCAGCGAAACGCCTGAAAAAATCGCCAGATCAGTGAGGCTTTACCCGAATAATCCTGAAAATTTCCGGCTCTACGTACCATGCTACCCCCCATCGGCACACCAAAAGGCGAGGTGGGCGCGCAACTGGCAAGTCTGCCCACCAACCCGTTTCCTTCCTCTTGGGTTAATTGACTACTTGACTGGCCTCTTTTCGAGGTCACGGGAGGGCGTCTAAATAAAGAACAAAATTTCAGGGTGCATCACTAGCATGACAATTCTTAACATAGGATATTCTTTAAGTAAATCCGCATTCACAGAGCCGATTTAGGCCTTTGATTAGATCTGCGACTGTCGATGTTGGTTACGAATCCAATTCTCCAGAATGGTTCCCATGTGAACCCATCAGTAGCCCTTGTAAGTTTTGGTTCAGAATTCGAAGAAAAATTACTGAACGCCCGCTACTACAACATAGTGAAGTAGCCGAATCCGACACTTCAACTTGAACGTCCTGCTTATGGCGTTTTCGGCTGTCATGACCCCTTTTGTTTTCAAACCGTCACACTTGGGGTATTTTTCTGTGCAAACCCTTTTACAAATCGTATCAAACATCAACCAAGCATTCAAAGTAAATAGACAAATAGATGAGGCCTTCGGCGAGGCAAGGATGCAGCCAGCCAGTGAACCAAACACATTGAAACGCAATACAAGACGTTAATCGGCGGTCACCGAAAGAAGGTCCCTCCTGGTAGACAGTGTGGCAGTGGATGGGACTAGATGAGGTCAAGCCAGTGATGAGTTGTAAACAGTCGTAAATGAGTGTCAAATTCATCAGCCTAAAGGTGAATTAGAAGTAGCATTCTTCAATCACTTAAACTATTTGAATTGCCGATTGGGTTCAATTATCACACTCATCAAGCATAAACAAGCGTAAGACGGGAAACAAATCGTCTACTCGAAACACCACTTTGTTTGCCTCCCCTTGTCGCTATCACGACAAAAAAGCAAACCTTAAATATTCTCCTCCACATTGTTGTGAAGTAGTTAGAAGTGTCAAAACACAGTTTTCAAACCGAAAACAAACTAGCAAGTTCTGTCGGTCGGCCGACCAATCGATCCCCAACCAGGCGATTTGATATTAGAGGTCGAAAGTATTGGCCAATTTCGCTCCAGCTGTAACAGCTCAACTAAACTACGCGATAAATTTATCATCCAACCACGCATAATATTCACTTTTAAATAGGCAGCTGCCATCAAAACAGGAGACGCGAATCACCACTGAGGACGGCCGTCAGGAGTGGGCATGAGTCTGCCTCATAGCGAAATGCGTTCTCTTTCTGTTTCGGTATTTGTTTAACCGCTGACAAAGGACACTTAGATGATGCCAAAAGACCAAGTATGCATCACTGTATGCTAATAACGTGGTCTTTGTGACCTAGTGACAATAAAAACCAGATTAACCGGAAGGTTATCTTACATGAAAGTTAGTGACGAGTAGCGCAGGAGATGATGGCTGTAACATTCCCTGGGTTGTTTCACATTTTGTCCGGTTACAACACCAGGAACAGCCCTCATTCAGGCTAGCTCCTCCTCAGAGGGCATTGCTATTGGTGCTACCCTGCTTAAAAGCATAGGTCAACTCAGTTGATCAGAGTGATAGTAATGCCTCTCATTCGTGTTTATGCTTCATCGTCGTTTGAGTAAAAATCTTGCAGCTTTAGCTAGAGAATTTAGGAAAATTCAATGAAGCAAAAATCTCGCCACTTACAATAAGGCGTTCGGGCACTCTAGTTACCGAAAAATAGCTTTTCTTGAATCCCTTTTCGGACACATGCAGCCATTATCGAGAATCCATGACGTTGGCGTCCACTCTCACGGAAACATGATGCAGATTTGCCACCTAACTACCGACCATAAGTCTTGTTCAAGCCAACCCCCTCCCCTTACAATCATTTAAAAAGCAATAGAGGAGCCATCGCATCATCGAAAATTTCGGGAATGTATGTGTGCGAAGCAAAAGTAGTAATACTGTTCTGTCTAAAGTATTAGGGAACCAACTACGCCAAATAGTCAACAAGAACGCTACCACATTTGACTGAAAGATGATAATTCAATGAAGCGGGAGGTCCATCGTCTTCAACAAACTCTCCCTGTCATTCAATTATCCACTTCAATCAGCAGCAAATGTGTCTAGGTTTTCCCCCTCGAGAGAAATGAGATGATGACAGCAAATGCATTCAACTACGTAAATGCCAGCATATACGTTGGCGAGGCACAGAGACACTACACGCCGCTTCTATGCCTTTTTGCCAAACTCTCCCCTCATTTGGGTGTTTTTTGCTCCAGACAAAGCCAGTACAGCGGAGGAGAAAACTAGTCGAAATCGACGCTTCCCTTTATCCATTGAAGCAAGACAATTGTGATCAAGAGGTTGGCTGAATTTTGAATCGAATAAACAAATTGTATGTAGATTTCGGCGTTGATTTAGAAATGATAACTTTTACAAAATACAAACGACTTGAACTTCGACATGCTATACTCTAGTAGAAAGACGAAGATGATAGCAAACACTCAATTACCAGAAAGTTCTACATCATCGACCAAGCAAACCCCAAACAAATAGACTTCCGAAAAGGAATAAAACCTTTTTCTGGGATAAAGGGGATACATTCGCAGACTACCAACAAATTAAACAAATCACAGCGATTCTTGCACTTACAGTAACAACCCTAAATTAAAAATTGGTCAAATGTTTATTAAGAGGATAGGGGAAAAACACAACTGCAAATCGGAACACTCGATGGTGGCACAACAATGCTTGCCTAGTAGCTAAACAGACGCGCTCACTTTACCGTGTTACGCCGAATGTGCAAGACTCATGCCACATTTTTTGCGTCGATGTCAGAAATAGATAATGCAACAACTTGGAACCAAAAAAAGGTGACAGGTAACCTCTAGAAGAAATTCTGCAAACAACCGATGGGAAGGTGAAAAGGATTTCTAAAAGGCAAGATCAAATACAGGTGAATCCAAAATCGCATCAAGATCACAATTTCGTTGGTCACTAACCACGACCCGTAACAACGCTGAGAAGCGCAAAGAGCGTACATGTGCACACATGCGAACGCGTGTGCGTGTTAGCTACCGAGGTAAACACAACTGGCAATGGACAGTCAGAAGAGCGAATGCAAATCAACAACAGTTAGTGCGGTATCGAGAGGCATCCTTTCTGTGAGGTGAAGAAAAAACTAGTGACACGGTAACATCTGAACTCTATTTACCCTTCTGTTCTTAATTACTCAGGCGTTAGTTGCAGTTTTTATTTGAAAAAAGGAAGTTCAGCAACTGCACTCATGTAGAAAACTTCGCAGTGAGGACCCCAAGAGGAAATCAACCACCATAGCTACCAAGGCGTTTTATTGTTCCAATACGGCACTAATTACAATCACCATTTCGACTGCTTAAAACGCCTTCCAAAAACGTATTTTACCTTCAGGTCAAGAGCATCTTACGACTACCTGTTGATTTAAACTAAGTTAGTCTTGTCAAGACAAGATTCTGCGCAGGCCCTGAAGCTGGTCTTTTATCGACGAATTTCGACTAGCTTCCAAGCATTAAAAAAGAATTCCCCAATGAGGACAACTCCAAAATTGCACTTTTTCGAGTCGACCACACGGAAAAATAGGCAGTTTGGTATCAAACAAGATGCTGCGGACTAGCCTATTTAGAAGTGCTGCCTTTGACGCGAAGGCCGGTTTCAGTAGATATCTCGAAATAGAGCCACACGAACTTCAAGACATCGTATGCGAATGGGTGAAATAACTCTGCATAGACCTCCTTGGTTATCACATGAATCTCAGAGAAAATAAGCACTTTTTATTAATAAGACAGATTGATTACAAATCGAATGTAAATCGTAACAAGGTTGTTCATCGTCGAGATTCCCCCTCGTTACACAAAATTCTACGAGGTGTTTATGCATGATTGTGACAAAGTGATAGGACCTTTTCAACCACAAATCAGACATTTTACAAGCACAAATATGTAACGATCCCTACGCTGTATTTTCGTGGAAAATCGAAAAACAAGGGGAGAATGAGAGAAGTTACTCACTGGCATTGCCTGTCTGCAACATGCGGTAGAACCGATACTCCAAATGCAGCTGGGGTGCTCGTGTCTTCATCGGTTCTAACTTGATCGCAACATGCTCGTTGGTGTAGAGGTTTTTACCTACAATGCGAACCAGGATGACAGTGAAATACAAAACCATTCAGCAGTCGATCTAGGAGACCGCTGGCCTGTGTGTCTTAGCAAGTCGACGCATAAAGGTCCAAAGTGACGCAAAAGTGCATACGCATTTGTAGGACACGAGGGGAATGTGTATAGACTAAGACAAGGACTCTGTGGCTTTTAAATGGATGCTCCGTCATGTGGAGGATGGATGATCGGGTAAAGGTGAAATGAAACGGATAACCGTTCCCAAAAATTCAAGGATACAAGACCCATCATTTAATTTCATTTCAACACTAGTTGCACAGCTTTGATTTAGATGTATTGGCTGAAAACATACCTAGATAACCAAAAATAACAGGAGTAAAGCGCATTCAGGAAATATGAGGAAGAATGCCGCAGCTTTTAAGTAGATGCTGGACTGCGGTTTTGGAAAACGACACGCAGACAAGAGATGAACTTTCTTGAAATGGCTTAAAGTAGACACTTAAGCGTTTCAAGATTGAAAGAAATAAGAAAATGGGGTCAATGAGGCGGGACAAGCATATTTGCAATTTTAGTCGTAGGATGATCCAAAAATGCAATTGTGATGAGCTAAGGTACTAGAAGAGAGCGCAGCTAAGCAAACGAATACCAAATCAAAGAGCTGACTTTCTTCACGAATCTCGCGTTTACATATACGCGGCATGAGGATGCCCTACGCAAGTGGTTAAAACTAGAAAGAACTTTAGAAGAGGCAAGCTACATTATGGGTGGTTGAAAAACAAAGTAATTGAATACAATCACCCAATCGTGTGGTTTCATTCACGAATCAAACATAAATGAGCAATTGTATTGAGTTAATAAGGCGTTGAGTCGCTTATTGAGATACCTGAGTACCCGGTTAACATTTAAATATAGAAGTGAATTAATTCGATAAAACGAACATACCACTGGAGACATGCTAGGCTATAGAGTCCATGAATAATGATTACGGTCAGGTAGAAATGTATTCAAATTAAACTCACGAGCAGGAACAAAAGAACAGTATGCGGTGATTAAACTAGAATAGCCGTCAAGTATATTAATGAAAACGGGACTTGAGACTTGGTAGGTTGGGGAAAATAGAAGAACAGACGCCAATGTTATGCATAATTTTGTCCCAGAGATTTCGTAAATGCCGGGCGAAATCAACAAGCAAATCTAACCACAGCTTGATTCACAAAGAAGAATTGTGAAGCGATGGGACTTGATGCATGCACGCCAGAGAAGGGAAATACTCAACAGTAGGCCGAAGAGGTGAACGAATCCTATGATTTAGAAATAACCCTCCCCATCCCATTTTTCTACCAATCACAGTGCTACTCATGATGTGATAACTCATGTGATGTCAACAAAGTAATTCGGAAACCCAAAATTAGAGCAATTATCGAATTACGTCAAAATCACACACAACCACAGATAAGGGCGTCATCAAACATGAGCAAATTATAAACCACCAATTACATCTCTACAAGAATCAAGATGCGAAACAGCTACCTAGACAATCGAAAATGACATTCAAAAGAGAAAACGAAGATGATTTTGCAAGACAGCATAGTAATAAGGCATACAACAAGTAGGCAATGAAAATACTTGAATTTAATTGTCCCATTTTAATTTCTAGCAGAACATATATTTGGAAACAGAATGCACTAATCCTAAACGGATAATTTCGAGGTGAGCAAGAAGCCGAAGAAAATGACTCAGTTAAAACCAACTTATGAAGATTGCTTGATGTTATAACCAAATTCATCTCAAAGATGAATAAGCTAGAAAACGCCTTTTAGGATACAATAGAAATGGTAGGTAAATCCGAAATCCTATGATTTTTGAAGAAATGTTTGGGCAGCAAACTATTTAAGCGAAATCACCTAATTACATTGCATCATGAACCATGCCTCTCTACAAAAAAGTGCCAATTCTAAGAGAAGTCGTCAATGATCAAAAATGCCCCTTAAAACACGAAAACTCAAAAACGTGTTTGCGACACAACAACTTAGAAGAGGGAGGAGGTCGATGGGCCCGTAAGCAGCCATAAATATCACAACTATAAATATTCAGCCCGAGTTATGAAATTCAGACGCCGGATATAAGTAGTCTTGATCTAAACGTGTAAAGCTAAGATGAAAATCAATATCCAGCGGGATCATATGCAACAAGGAACCACGTGCTTACGTGGTTACTAGAATCTAAAAGACCAATACAGACCCTATTTAGGGCTTAAAATGACTAACCGAGTCGAATTTCACCGAAATTTCCACACCCGATTTTTTTGCCAACACGGAAATTGGGACCAACAAACAAAGAATTTGAGTCGCGGGAGGAGCGAAGACCATCTTGTTGGTGATTTGAGGACATGTTGTGGTAAAAAATCGAGGTTATATTCCGAATGAGTCCGCGAGAATCATACACTAACTACAGGAGGTAGGAGCGATTCCCATGCTCAAAGAATGGCGGATTCAACTAAAAAGAGCGACTTAAATGTTCGATGGAAATTAAAAATCCATAAAAAGCAAAAGCTTCCACAAATTTAGCATAAAACAACGGAGAAGGCAGAGCAACGCAGACAGTCCATGTTGAACTGAATAGACCAATCAATTTAGGGAAGCGAGATAGATAAACAAAACACATAGGGAGTCGTGATTACAAAGCTATGGATAATTTAAGCCTTAAAACAAAAAATCAACTGTTTTTTAAACTTTTAGTTCGATTGTTGCCAACATACGTGCCAAACCAAAAAAAATCATGATATATTGGTAAAAAGAAGAGGCCAAAAAGTGACAGGGAAAAATCATAAAAGTCGAAGTCAATGCACCTTATTTTGAGTTTAGTACATTTGTACTTTATTTGCTACTTAACTATCTGCTTGGGTTAAAGGACCTTGAGTCCTCACTATTTATCTTTCGTCCCCATTGTAGCGCCCCGAGACTCCCTTAAGACGAAAGAAGACACAATACTCGGGCAGGATATATATATTCAGCACGGAGAAGGTGGCTGGGCTATTGGCATGGCCCAAAAGGCCAGCCCCAGCCAGCGAGGTACAAGGGGGCTAATTCAAAGTACAAAAGTGGCGCCTCACCAGAACCGAGGGATAAACCACTATCGTATTACACCATACCTACTCCGTGTCGAATGTGTATATTCTGCACGAGTATTATCCCTTTTTATCTTCATAGACGTTTCATGGCGCTAAAAACCTGCTATCTGGAAAATGCTCTTATTTTAGTAACTCCTCGAAACCCTCCCTGATGTACCATCTTTCCATATTCATTACAATCGCCTGAATTATTTTTTAGTTTTAGGAACCCATCAGGCTTCATCCTATTTGCAATTGTTTTGTCGTAATGTAGTCCTTCAATCTGAGGTTTAAGTACCTGAGTCTTGACCTTGTATAAAGCAAAAACCAACGATACAATAAAACTTATGCATACCTAGATAACACGCAGAAGTTGCTGTAGGAAGTTCTGAAGCCGAATGTCCTCTGCTCCTCGGCAAGCATGATTCTTTCGGCTCGAAGTATATTGCGACATGCATAGTTATAGCGATTGAAGACTTCTTTGAAGACGAAAGAGAGCATAATACTAGGGCAGAATAAATACATATATATAATACGATGGTTGTTTATCTCTCCGTTTTTGTGGAGAGCCACTTTTGACTTGGGCATTCCACCACGCTGGATGGGCTGGCCTTGGCATCATGGCGGTAGCCCTGACACCTTCTCTGTGCCGAATACATATATTCTGCCTGATTATTATGTCGTCTTTCGTCTTCAGGGTAGTCACGGTGCGCCCACTCGACGAGATACAATGGCCAAGTCAAAGTGGCCCATTACCAATGCCAATCGTTAAACAAACAATCAATGCATTGTGCGATAACGAAATAGTCATTTTAGGAGGCATAATATCACTGCATTGAAGTCAGAATTTACGCCAACTTATCTATTGTACCTTGGGAGCAATAGGACAGGATGGTCGGGGCCTTGTTTTATTAGGTGATGATGAATAAAGGGGTACAGTTGCACTGATTAAGTGCGTTTAGGGTACATTTCCTCCAGCATTTATGGAATCTGATCCAACAAGGACTTTTTTACTAATCGCATTCCAGATGAAATGTACAATTTAACCTGTATTAATATTACCGTACGCATTAACTTTAACGGATATCAGTAACTTAGCTTCGTTCACATAACGTTTGCGGCTCAGTTTCCGTTCCACTTGCATTAAGTCATTACAAAATTATTCTTTAAGTCAAAGGCAGTTTGAGAATGGATTGTCGAGCAAGGCGTAAGTGACGATTTGATATCCAAACAATATGAGCGATTATTGAGGTCATCGAGATGGCCTTGGGGTCGCTTGGCATAAAGCCAAGTGATGAGACGTATTTTCTGGGTGCTTTTCTACTATCCACCAAAATAAGGGAAAAAAACAAGCCAAACAAGTTTCATTTGCGATAAACCGCGCAAGTGCTTTCTCCTTGAAGAAAGTGGTTTTTGCCTACGTGAGCTAAACAGCCAAAACAATCGCTTTAGGGTCAAAATTGGATAAGGTTGAGAACTTGACGCTTAACAAACAGGCGTTCCTGTAGTTCTCTTCATTTTAAGGTTTATCAGAACTCCTCATTTAAACCAGGTTGTGTGCATTACTATTTCCAGGCTAGTCAGAGGGCTGACAGTCTTTTAAATGTTCAAAATACTAGTGCGTAGTCTCTAAGACACACGCCATTTTTAGAGATTTTTTGGTAGTAGTATAAAACTACTCGAGCCGTTCGTTGCGCCACCCACGGTCTTTTCACTGCTTTTGTCAAGCCAATTTTCTCCATTTGATTATATAGGCATATGCTAAAATAAAAAAGACCTAACATTTTCATAACTTCAGATTATTTAACTGTTTCAAAACGAGGCGCGTGTTCTGGTTGGGGGGCGTGGTTTGTAAGTGGTTTTCCGGTTGTTTTGTGGAATGTTGGGACAGCTTTTGGTATTGTTTTGCTATGCTAAATTTTCGCTTATTTCTGTGGTGAGATTTATGTTATTGATTAGTAGAGTTCTTAATATTCTTAAAAGCACTCGAAACAACTTAAAGTTGTGTCTTAGTTTCACACTCGCTTAGCTTTTATGATAAATTTTTTCAGAACAGCAATGGGCAAAACCTGGGAGGATCTCAATCTCATCTCTGAAAGCCTACAGGGCATCACCTATTTGGGTTTTGCTCATCCCTTTCCTGTCCAGTCTACCGTAGTTCCTCTTCTTCTCAGTCGTAAAGACGTTGCTGCCGAGGCAGTCACAGGGTCGGGCAAGACTCTTGCCTTCATCCTACCGATTTTAGAGATTCTTGCAAAGCGTCATGATGACTGGAAGAGTCATGAGGTATATCTTATTGCCTTTCCGGTAACATTCGCTATTGGCGTTAGGTATAACGCCACTTGTTGCATCAGTTTATGATAACGGTTTGAGAATAATCATACGTCAAAATGTATGTAGAACGCTTTTGCTCTGAGGATGATTGCATGCTTGCAGTTTTTGAGCAGCAATTGAATTACTCAGTTCGGTAGTACTAGTGTTGCCGCTGTTACCACGAGAGATTTTCTTGGCTGTGGTGGTCGATTCCCCTCCAATGTCTTGGTTGCAAAAGCATGACATTTGACGCTCGCACTTTTGACTAATGGGATTGAGTTATGGGTATTGCTCAAGAACAAGTGGTTAAAATAAGTCAGATAAGTAGCGTAAGCATGCATTCCTTTGTTTTTTCCTGTTGGTTTCTGCTCGCGAATATCCGAGTTCGAAATTCGAGGAACAGATGCCCCCAAAACCGGTGATGAATCGTTTTTTTAGGTTAGCCACCAGAAATTTTTCTTAACTGGATCTTTACCACTAAAGATGTTTGGTTTAGTGGTAGGCTCGTTTAGGTTTAAAAGACTTTGACTTTGTTTGGTATTCTCTATAGTTTGATTTGCACTATCCACTGAGAGGATGCAGCATGCCCCCATAGGAAGCATCTACAGTTGTTAGGAATGCTCATCACGTTATAATTCAGAATTTAATGTGTTGGTTAACGAACATTTTATCAAACCTCATGTCCCTTTTCTCCAATTCGGACTCTGCAGATCGGCGCACTCATACTGTCACCGACGTACGAGCTAACAGTTCAAATCCATAACGTACTTACATGCTTTCTGCAGTTCTTCAAACGCAAAGACGGGTATGCCAACTTTTTATTCACAATGCGTGGTATTTTCCTTTCAGAAATGTTCCATTCCCTCAAGCGGTATAGGTAAAGTCTGGATATTAGAATTTTCGAGTCATTTTATTGAGTTTACTCCAAAAGTTCATCTTTTGGTGCCTTTTTTGATCCGCCTGTGAATCCGCTTTAAAAGTATTTACTAGAAAGTAGATGCTTTTGAAGATGTCTTATTTCCCATATGTTGGGGGTTTTCGAGAATCAGTATTGATTCATCATCTAACCCAAAGTTATGGATCCCTTGAATCAGACATGGTCAATATACATACAAACTATCGAATGAGACTCGGACTGCAGTAGGGTTGTTACAGTAATGCATCAATGGAATTGTCCATCACTGCCTTGTATCATCAAATCCAGTTTTTGTGCTGTTCCCAAATCCATGTTAGGTTGTTTGTTTATTATAATAGGTGGTAACATTGCTTTTAACTGTTTTTGGGCCTAATGAGACCTGACAGTTAGGAAGCACATCACGAGCATTAGTAATTGACGCAACTCCGGGGGGGGGTCATTTTAGACGTCATCAATCAAGACGGAGGGCAACAGTGCCTGTGCGTACATGGAAGCGTGGTAGAGTATATTGATGGGGCTTTTTGTGACGGAAAAATCCGTTGATAAGCGCAGTTACAAATAGTTTCGACACCGTGTAGTACTGAGGTTCAGTTGCAGTAAGGAATTTGATCTGGTAATGTCAGTATTTCAATGGCATCTGTACATCAGTGACGATCCAAGTGTCGGTGATTCCCATTTAGCAGCCTCAGCGGTTATCCTCGTAAACATTCGTCGTGGAGGTTATACCTAGTCTACCCATCTGTCATCATGGAATAATACAAGTGACGAACATCTATCTGGCTCACGCTAGGCGTTCTAAGATAGTTCACCCATCTTTTCATCTCGAGGCTTTCCAGAATTATGTAGACAAAATTACCAAGGGGCTTGGCCGAAAGGTAAATGCAGTTTCGACTTCCTGAAATTTTTTTGGCGGTTTGACGTGAGCACGGAACGTAGTGTTTCCCTTAGATGCAAAATTTCAGAAGCACTATCGAAGACGTTTAATCAGCTTATAGAATAGGTCTGGTCGTCGGCACTGTCTGCAATATCAATGAGGTTAGCATTAATCCTATTTTACTTTCATGGTTCGTTAGTGGAACTTTTTGGTCGATACAGGTCTCCGCGCTTCAATTCTCTCGTTCTAAGTGGTGGTGCTGCTCATACTAAGCGTCTAGAGGACCTGAAACGTTTTCAAGCCACTGGCGCAACCATTCTCGTGGCTACTCCAGGTCGCCTAGTCGATCTCGTTCAAAAGGCACCCCTCTTTTTGGGTCAGATATCCAACAACCAGACCTTCAATCCTGTTGTTCGGGGACTTCGCAGCTTGGTAGGATCTATCGTATTCACTCACTCAACTTTTTTTCGTTCCTTTAGGAGATCCTGATACTCGACGAAGCTGACCGCCTACTTGATATGGGATTTGAACCACAGTAAGCGAGGACCGCTTTCCAGACATCTCAACCTCTAGATTGAATGCGATACTTGGCATGTTACCAAAGCAGCGACGGACGGGTCTGTTTTCCGCTACACAGACAAACCAACTGGATGATTTGTTGCGGGCAGGGCTGAGAAATCCAGTTAGAGTTGTAGTGAAAGAGAAGGACGTGGCTTCAATTGTGCATCAACAAAGAACTCCGTCGACTTTGGAAAACTACTTTCTGGTATGTTGATACTTTTGTACTTTCTGCTGAAATGAGGGGAGGCACCTTCTCGATGTGACGTAGCTTTCTTAATACTAGCTTGTGAATCTTGGTAAAGCTACCAAATAGCTTTAGACTTCTTTGTTGACTACTGATAATTCTTTGAGTTGGTAATTGCCTGTTATGTCATGCCGTTAATTGACTCAACGGGATATTCTGTGGACTTGTCGAATCAGCTAAATATATGTATCTGTGGCAGTTTGAAAAGACTGAGGGGCTAGAAATACGAACGTACGGGATGAGATTGGAGCTACGCACACAATCCCTTTGAAGCCGTAACGCGGTAGGCTACATGCTTTAACCGTAGTCCCCAGCCCGCTCTCAGTTGTTGCTAAAACTTTTGAAGTAATGGCAGCAACGATAGTGACTGTATCTGCTTTGAAACTGCCTATGCACACACCCACTCATCCGCAAAAAAGGACCAAGATGACAATATTTTGATGACTAATTTGCATCACAGCTAGAAGACATCCGACACACACTCATGTGGATTTTAATGGGATTCCTCATAGCCTTTGTTACCTTCTTTGAGGCCAATCCCACTGGTGATTGAGGTGGATTCATTTGGGGCCCGTAGAGCTGAAGGCTGGGCGATGTCAAAGAGACAATAGGGGTTTAAGAATTAGAAATACTATGAAGGAAAGTGTCGATATAAGTAAACAGTTTCTGAATAGGCAAATTGATGCATGAAACGCATAGGTGGATATTTTGAGTGGATAGATTAGAGTTGCATTTAGGATCTAGAATGAATGGATGTATTAGAGATGGTTTGCTGTATGAATAAATCGACGGGTGATTGACTGGATGGATCCAGAGTAGGTTTTTACTCGATCTTATCGTCTTGAATCTCCCCATCTGCTCGCCATCGGCGTAGATTCCCCAACTCGAGTCTACAAGTCCCTAGAATTAATCACTCTCCCACCACGTTTCTCGAATAGGTTGTCGACCCTGCTGACAAATTTCGTGCCCTCGTCACATTCCTTCGAAGCCACGCATCCACAGAGAAGATTATCGTCTTCCTCGCTACTTGTGCAGCTGTCGACTACTTCAGTCGCCTCCTTCGTAATGGCCTCCTCCCCCCCCGCCAGGCCTCCCTTGTTCATGCTCTCCATCGCAAAATGCGCTTGAAACGGGTCGCAGAATTCGACAAATTTCGCTCCATTGAGAGGTATGCCGACAATGTTTAGCACGTTTGATACTAGGGTCACGGAGATAAATCTGTCACTACATCCCAGATTAAAACTCGGGGGGTCACGTGTGGGACGCCGCTAGATAGCACGTTTGAAAGTTCATTGCCGTATTTTAGGGGCGTCCTGCTCTGCACAGACGTGATGGCACGAGGAATCGATGTGCCGGGGGTGAATTGGGTGCTGCAATGGGATCCACCCTCGAACGCCAAGTAAGCGAGATTTCTTCTCTTGTTTATTTTACGCACCTTTGCCAAAGGTCTAAACTTTGTGTCACCAAAATTCTCACTATGGATTTCTTCTTGCATCGAATTACCGTTAAATTTCACATCTTTTTACAGCATCCACTGGACGTTTAATATCTAAGTATTTCGACAATTTGAAGGTCAAATGAACAAAATTTTTCTTTTTAAACTACCTGCCAAAATGTGGCGCTATTGTGTGGATTCGACTGTTTGAAGCACCGGTTTTTTAAAATAGGTATTTTCACCGTCTCAATTGTGAAAGTTGGAAGCAAAATTGACTAGGAAAGTTTTTGTTGTCTCTTCCTCTTGCCGTTCTACTATCATTACATTCAGCCCAGCGCTTGAATCATTTAAATTAATACGAATTTGCATTTTTGACAAAATAAGATATTCTTGATGAATTTTAACCAAGCACACAATCCGTCAATACTTGTTTTAGTATCTGATTGATTGACATTGCGCAATGTTTGAGACACGGTATTCGTGTCATGGGTCCTTATCTACTTAAATTAGCAAATGAGTAGCATGTACTAGTACGGACACGAAAGAGAGAATCTTCTTTGCTGAACTGGAGTGACTAAATTACTGGTTACGCGTGATGCCGCCCTGACATCAAAAGACAAGCAGAGAGCCCTTAACCCCCCCCCCCGGTTGGAACGTTCTTGACCAATTAATAAATACTGAATGACCTTGGAAACCAGCTACGGCGGTGACATCGCGTATAAAGTTAGTTTAGCTTACCTTCTTGACCAGTCAGATCGAAACCTTCAAAAATAATGACCATGATGCTGTTAGAACCCTTCACATCAATCGTTCCATTTGAAATTTGAGGTGTCGACGATGGAGTCCGCTCGAAATTGCTTTGGAAACCTGGGCAATAGTAAATTACTTTTGGCACAAGTAATACACATGTTTCATATCGCCATTTTAATGACTGTCCTGACTAGCCTATATCAGGTGACCAAAATAGTTCTTGCAACAATCGGGATAGCCCGACACAATAACCTGCTGTAAATTATGGAAACCTGTAAAACGTATGTAAATGCTCACATGCCCTACATAGCCTAGATGTGCGTTAGTCTATCGGTAAGGTACCCGGCACTGTCCCCTCCAGTGCCTCCCTCTTACCTTAATTCCTCGTTTCATGGAATGCCGGTCAGGCCTGATGTACACAATTTCAACTGGTCTGTTGCGGGGCGTCTAACTCAATTACAAAGCTGGAGAAGCTTCACGTGAGACCTGTCCAACATTTGGAAGTGCAGTTGCAGTAAAAGTGCCGCCCATAAATGGCTTGCATTCGTTTGATTTGGGTAATGAAGCATTTCAAGACAAACGCTGCATCTTGCTCAGGAAAACCCTCCATTCTTGTCGATACTGGTCCATTAGTGGTGGTTGGACGTGCTTGAGTAAACTAGCAGTTTGCATCTACATCAATCGGGAAGAAAATCGTGAAAACTGAGTCCGTAAGTGCTATCCGCATTCGTTAAGCGATGAAAAACAATATGCTGTTTGCTGTTCTTAAGATCAGTATGTTATAAGAAGCGCACCATGCGTTTTAAATTGTTCGTTGACTGACTGACTTGTAATTAGAGGTGAATTTCGTGCTTTTGTATTCCCTTGTTTTCTAAATGAACGAACACACTTGCTCACTGTTCAATCCACACTTCCAAGGCAAGCGCCGCTTCTTCTCCGGTAAACTGCTTTGTGTGTGGGTGTGCGCGCGTGCGTGCGGTGGACTGAAAAAGAATTGTTTACTTGCTGAATAATAGTCAACAAACGCGGCTGACACTTATCCACTCGAAACGATGCATCTCAAACAAGTGTTATGTTAATTACCCTTCAGAAGGAGTCTAGACTAGCCGACCCATCGGAGGAGTCATTCTCACTATCAAAAGACGACACAACGTAAGATCATGTATAATGACAGAAATTTCCTGTGCGGAGGTTAACTTTCAGGTTGATAGGAGGAGAAAGTAAAGTGCAGAAACCAAATTTTATCCGCTTTTATCATTCCAGTAGCAATAGGCTGGGCAAATGCCGCACAGCAAGAGCAAATGGTGCGCTTAACACTAGTTATCATATCTCTTCCTCCATTCTCAGTTTCTTCGTACATCGCTGCGGTAGAACAGCGCGATGCGGAGCGGAGGGTCGAGCAGTTCTCTTCCTTGCACCCACCGAAGTCGCCTACGTGGACTTTCTTCGCATCAACCAAAACGTGTGTTTGATCTTTCCATTGCTCTTATTATGTAAGGTCTACCATCTGCTTTTATGTAATCGGTGTCAAAAACTAGTGACGACTGGCATGAGCTATTTTTGAAGGACCTAGCATGCCACATCCCAGGGTATTTTTACTTCCACAAATGAAGCATTGCACAAACGTAGAAGCTGAATCGCGAGGGCTCTGAAAGCTAGCTAGACTACTTTTTCCAGTTTGTTGCACTGTTCTTGGCGCTGCCTGGGACTATTTTTATTCACAGATTATCACAGAAGCGAAACAGAATCAACTGGTAGGCAAGATCGAACATCTTGCAGTGCTTCCTCAGTGCCTATCGCCCTGGCCTTCGAATCCATCGGCAGTTGTATATCTCTTAAATTCCTAACGGAAGAAGTTGTTATTAGTTCTATCGGTGTTGGGAAGGTGTATTCTGAGGAGTGGTTTTTCACATCAGACAGCTTGAGAGGTAGAATCACCTGTCTTAATCATTTTCCGGGTTTTCATAATATAAAGAAGTTCAAAGATTCCACATTACAGTCAGCATTAACGGCTTTTGTGGATGCTTTTGACTCGTTTGGTGCTTATCTTGATCCGTTTCTAATCGGCTGTATAAAGTGTAGGCTTGCCAACTGCTTCGAAGTTTCAATTATCTTTCTTTTTAAGTTTCCTCTTCGGCCGTCCGGGGCAGTAGCCCTCCTTTAAAAGTATCCAGCCAATACATTCACATGTGTTAGCTTCCGACGAGGAATCAATGAAGTCAGTCGCATTCTTCATAAGAAGTGAATAGTGTCGAACACATTTCTCACCATTGCCACTTGTATAGGACCCGATTTGCCTTTGACAGGCATTATATGACATGCGGTTGCAGAATCAGTTCCATCGTCAACGCAGTATACGAGTCATCTCATCTAGTTTGTAAGTAAAGCGCAAGAATTCTGAAATTCAACTTCCGAGCCCTACAATTGCTTGGCTCTGGAAAATAATGAGAGGAGATCTAAACATACATTTACCACCAAAATTGATTTAGTGTTTTTTGCACTGGTCTCAAGCTTCAAATGCATCGATTTAGCAGCCGTTTCAATGTTGAAAAGAAGTTGGTAAGCCACTCTCACGAGCGGGAAGTATTAGGTCGGTTTATAGTACTCACGCACTTGCCTCTTATTCCAATGCCAGGTCACTCTTGTTGAAAGGGATCTACCCGAACTAGCTGATGCCTCCATCTTGGAAGAAATTACAAGCGAATCGATTCGTGCAAAAGTTCAGCAAGTCTGCATCAAAGACAGGTGGGTGACTACACGAAAATACGTAAACAACGTCGGCTCTTTTGTTTAGGCTGCTCTACGAGAAGAGCATCAAAGCTTTCGTCTCCTTTGCTCAATTCTATCGCAAGCACGACTGCCGGTTGCTCTTCAAGATCCAAGGCAGGTGATGCTTATTTTATAAAGTGGCATCTACTGTTCTGCATTTCAGTTTGCCTTCTTGTTTAGCTTCCACTACCCATGGTCTTCGCTTTTTATATTCACACCCCTTTTTGTGGTTCATCTATGCTGTCTGTAGGTTGCTTCTGTCACGATTATTCACTTGGAAATAACCAGTCAAATTATCCTAAAAAAGAAGAACGAGGATGGAACTCGGTGGAATTAAATTGACTTATTTTAAGTATAATTTGAGGATGGTGCTCATGCTTGCCGATCCTTTGAAATGCAATTGCTGGATGGACAAATTGAAGCAGGGAAGAATCGCCTAAAAACCTTCAAGGATAGTCTGTAAACGTGATAGGAGTAATGCCGATCTGTGTGCACCTTGTGATCACTTTACTTGGTAAGCGACTACCCCATTGGATTGGTATGAGCCCTCCCTGATGTGACGGTGGCTGTGAAACTATGCCAAGGAAGAAGGGAGAAACGGCCTGTAATAAGCTGGATTTTATGAGCAGGATATTTCTGCACTTTCTGAGGACAGGAATTCACTTCAGGATTGGGGTAAAGTTCCATCTCAGCGCCGTCTATGGGTCGATTGATAGCTTTGAATAGACATCCTGGTTTTACCAATGTGGAGCGTTTCAATCTTCAAGCTGACTGCAGCCACGACCACAAGGAATACGAATAGGATGTTCAAAGCGATCTGTACAAATGATTGAAGTGGTTACAGGAAAGCCGAATGCTTGAATGCTGGATCGTCTCTGTCTTGATCATGGTAGTCTTAAATTCAACGAGCAACTGTAGACAGAGACAGGACTGTATCTAGGATCCTTCGATACACGAATGCTTACTTGCTTTTGTTCTTTATTTCCACGGAGCCACTCGCTCAAATCAATGTGTCACTCTTCCTAACCATACTGAGCGTTTGTCACGGTTGTTCATTTTCCCACCTTGTAGAATTGGATTGGGGTTCACTGGGCAACGCCTACGGCCTTTTGCGACTACCTCAAATGCCCGAACTCAAAGGTGTCTCCATCGACAGCTTTATTCCCTCTGATGTCGACTTGACCAAGCTTAAATACAAGTTAGTTTACTTTGAAGTGTCTTCTTTCTTTAAACGAAAAGAAATCTTTTTATTTTCGTTTTTCCAGGGAGAAAAGCATTGCTAGGCAACGCGAGTTGAAACGCAAAGCGTTGGAGGCTAATCCACCGCCGAAGTTTAAGAAGGTGCATTTCAATATTAGCTTAGCTTGTTTCTAAAAAATTACACGATTTCCCATCACTGATGGTCAGTCCACTTTGACACCTCCACTTTTATAATGACAACCTCTCTGACTTTTCCGTAATGTGTCGCAACGCACGAGTGTGTCTACTGTTATCTTTCCATTGCACAGCTGGTTTCAACACTGGTCTTGGTCTCATCTCAGGTCTGTGCCTCACTGGGCACGTAGTTAACTCACCCGCATGATCGAAATTGGATCAAAACCACCTACCAGAAGGAAGCTTCTTACTCTTAAAGTATTGGCCAGCATACCCCCTCGTGTGCCGATCCTTTGGTTGACCGCATCCCTGCCTTGCCAGATACTTTGTTCGTTCCTCCACTGATCTGTTTTGGTCTGCGACCTCTCTGGCTTTAACTAGCAGTAGACATCAACGAGCCAGTCTTTGGGTTGTTTTCGTCTTGCTAGTTTTGCTGACCCTCTTAACGCCACTTCAAGTGTGTCAGTGGTACCGAAGAGGATAAGCTAGGGGAGGTCATCACGTTTGGGGGCTTTTGGGTATCCACCCCTGCATCATGAAGGCCTTGTCGAAACATGTGCAAAGAAGGCACTTCTCAAATTGAGGCTTGTCAACCATCTTCGGTGTCTGGGTGTAGGCTCCAGCATTTATTCGCATAACTTTGGAGGAAAAAAATTGCGGATGCATAATATGCTCCTTACTGATTTGGAATGATTTTCATTGAAGTTGTCGGGTAATTTGTTTCGTCTTTCGTTTAGAGTGTTGCATCTTCTGTGAAGGAAAATCCTTTCTTTGAAGTAAAGATGAACTTAGTTTTTTTATCCAGTCATCCCCTTGGTCCAAGACAAAGGAAAAACGTGCCAAGCGTGCCGCGCGCCGCCAGAAAAAGCTGCTTAAAGCAGAGCGCCTTATAACCACTGCCTCCCTTGGTGCCAGTATGTCGGATCGACTTATTAATAAGTGTTCCTCGGGTGCCATGGCAACTGATGGAAACGAGGATGACAGCGACGATAACGACACGAAGTCCATTTTGGAGGAGTACAAGAAAATGAAGAAGCTGAAGGGTCGCAAGGTGAGCGGAAAATCCGTGAAATTGTTGCTGCTGAAAGGCGCAGCAGTAGCTGTAATAGTTTTTGTCCGTGCACCAGATCACAGCGGCGGAATTGGAGGACTTAGAAGACGACGAGTAGAAGGTGACCTGTTTTTTCGTGTGTTTTGTACAAAAATGGCTTTTATTGAATTGACTCAAATTGCTGATTTTGAATTGTCGGTTTGAGAATATGCAAATTTGGACTCATGAAAATCGACGTTATCGACCAATCAGTTAGAAATCTTAGCTTTTGGTAACTGGAACGACGGAGTATGATTTTTAAACTGAGTTCGATGCCCAAGGCGGGAGTCTAGTGATTTCACCAATGTCCCCCTTTAGACAGAAGACTACAATGTACAGCGCTTGTATTAAGCTACCCCTGTAACCTGGCCTGTTTTCGTAGACCGGTTTTGAGTGTTCATTTTTCATTCTTTGTAATCACGTACGACTGAATTGAGCGACATTCATTCCTCTCTCCCCCCCCCCCCCCAATGCGATTTACGTGTGTGTTCCACAACCGTCTTCATCTCAGACAACTGGTCTCTTCCAATAACCCCCTGGGAAAGGCTGGCTTACCAGACAAAGAGAATCATGACACGCTAACCACTTCTCACTTTCATCTCACGTCTGTCTTATGTAGTTTATGCGTGGGATGGGGTCCTGCTCGAATCGATGATATCACTTAACTATGTGGAAAAGTGTTGAACTGAAAAGCAGGTTGTCCGATTAAATTGAGGTGTATCGTAAGAGTGATCCTGGAATCGTCACTTAGAGAACTGTTTTGAAGACGGCCATGGCAGAATAAATTATTCGGGAAATTAGAATAATTACCCAGTTTATTTAGGTCGGGTGACAAGAAGGATGACGTAGATCTACCACCGGACGTCGAACTCCATCAGTACCCTTCGAATTTCGATTGTACCATTTCTGCATGGAAGCGTTGCGCGAGGGTCATTCGGCATCTCTTGCTAAGCCATGACTCGCCTCCAACCGCGACTCCGACGTTTGTAAGCCTGTTTCTCAAGGGTATCAGTGAGATTTGATCATGAGGGGAATGCAGGTCATTACCAGTGAGTTTGAACAAATTGCCTTTTTGAAAATTTGAAATGGAGACTACGTCTAAGTGAAAATGGAGGCGAGTTGTCTCCGAAAACTATTAGCAGAGGATCTGTTGAAAACTTGTTTACCTTTGGCCAAATTCGAACGAAGTGAAGTTCTCCATGGAAGAACTGGCCATGACATTGATGTTAAGGTAGTGAGCTGTAATAATGAGACCGAGGACACGATATCCCTTATGTTCCTGTGATGTCGGGGGAATGCTCCTCCAGGGAAAATTACCCTATGCTTAAAAGCTATTTCCCGAATAAACCTTACACTTGGGTATAGCATCCAAGTCTACCGACGAAATAGGGGGCATTGATAGTCAGATAATCTTTTTGGTATTGGATTTGACTATAATGCTCTGGAAGATTTGTGGCGGCTCATGAAGAGGGGTAATCACGGGGAATAGAGGAGAGGGCTCTCAGACATGACGAGGGCTATGGTGGCATAATTAACGATACTTTTTTAGCCTTCACATTCGGGCTGCATTGGGATTCCATCCGTAATTGTTTGGCCTTTAGCAAGTGAATAGCCTTGTCTGCAGTGGACCGCGCACGCAAAAGCACGAAAGGGCCTCCGAGTAGGAGTAGTACATGACTTAGAAGTGAGTTAAATGATGAGGGCGTCGTTTTTGAATAAAGGAGAACAAAGGTTGGGGTGGACCTTCGCATCGTAGGTCACGCTGTTAGTTGGTCAACAAACAGCCTATAATGCTCTCTGTAAACTTTTATTACGTATGCAAAAGAGGTGAACAGCGAATTCCGGGTCATTAAATTTTCTTTTCTTGGCGCCATGGCAGCGCCCAGATGCACCGTTGCCTCCACCCCGATTTCCCCTTTCTAGATGATCCGGATGACAGGCATTTTACCACCACTCAAGATAAAAATTATCGTACCCCCCAATGCTATATAACACGTTTTGTTAGAAGCTTCTCCATCTTTGTTACTCATGTTCAACTTGGTTCGGAAATAAAACTATCTAGAGTGGTACCCATAGGGCTCATTTTGCCTTCTACTGGAGTGAAGGCTCAAGATACATTCACATGCACTTTACGAGCGTCCTTTCAAGTCGCAACAAGTCACGGCCAGGCCGGCAATCTAGACCGAAAACGGCACGAACATTATCTGACACCTGTGTCTTGGTTTGTGGTAGAAGCTTTGCTTCGAGCCTATCTTAAATATTCCTCCAGTAAATGAGTAGGGTTTGCTAACCGAAGTGTTTTTTCTTAATCCCAAATCGAATTCACAAAATATCAGAAGGTGGGATTAAACTTTGGCAGTTTTGGGCAAAAATTTACCTCTTCAGAAATAAAACTATTCATTTCAAAGGGTATTTACCCGTCCTGTTAAAGCGTGGCCTATTGAAAGGCACTTGAGCCAGTAAAGCAGGGTCCTCTACAAGCAAACAGTGGAACTTTAACCCTTTCCTAACTCTCTTCTAGTTGTCATGTTATTGTCTACTGTGAGGAAAGGTGATAAATGTCGCTTGAATAGATAAGGATCAGTTGAATGCGGAGGATGATAATTCGGCAGAATCTTCCCCATCGCATTCTCCCATCAAATTGCATACCCTCCTTAAGGGTCAGTCTTGCGGCATGGGGCATAAATTTTTGCAACGCCCGGCAAGGACATCACTTTTCTTCTGATTGACTCTTATTTCCTCACCACTAATACTCTTCTCATCAGGTAGATATATTTCAATCGGATTTGTTGTTCATTTTCGAGCAAGTTATTCATTCATGGTTAAAGGTCGCGGCCCTAATCCACTATAAATGCTCTCAAAGCAAGCGTAGCCTCATGGAAATGGAGTTGTGCCTGCCTCAAATGTGTGGGTTGGATAGGGGTTTGATCGTCTTAAAAGCACCACTGACGGTGTGTGATGCTTCTTGCCTTTCAGTTGTTAATACATGCCATATAGGCAGCATTCCTCCGCTTAGCAGCCACCGCCACGTCTTCTCCCTCCCATTTGGCGTGGATGTTAACTCATTGTTTTATTATCCGCGCTAATCGTGACTGATAATTTCCCATAATGCAGCATCTATCCTCCGAGCCCTTCATCAGCAGTTCTGGGTGGTGGAATGTTCAACTACCGCGCCTTCTGCAAATGCTTTGCGATACACTTTACAAGAAGCTTCAGCATCCTTGTAATCGAGTTGGCCTCGATTCGCAAAGAAAACCAATTCAAACCACAGCTGTCGCGTGTTCAGTAGGGTTCAAAAAGGAAGGAAATATCAAAGTGCGATAGAGATAGCCTGACGTTTGGACAGTCACATGCATTTAACAGCTTTCTACAAATTGTAGCAAGTCATTTTATTCAGCTGTACAAGAAGCTGCAAGATTTACAACAGATCATGAAATGCTCATCAGGGTTCAGGCATTCCATTTTCTAGATAATGTCAACGGAAATGACAATTGTGCTCCGGGGTGGAAACGGAATTGCACTCACCGAAGTCATCATTGACCTTCATTTTCCTTGTTGGCGATCAGCTGTGCATCCCATCACAATATAGTACTGTGCGTATCCACAGTTTTTGGTCTTTGTTCTCAGGCCGCTTCATCGCACGCTGTTCCATGTATGTCTGTGTCACGATCGGAAGGACGCATGACATGCTTTCTAACTACCAATGCACTTAGCAGGACACACCACTCACTAATTTGGGTAATATCACCATGAAGACCTTTTAAATGTCCTCATCTCAAGCGTCATTCAGATCTACGTTTGCACACGATTAGACACCTGACCTCCAATTTATTGTTTTTAGTGAATAACTTAGTCAAATTCAGTTTTTTTCCCAATCAGCTTAAATATCCTGACAACATCACCTTTTAAAACTTCAAGGCTTAGTGATTGGCGGATTTGAAAGTACCGTTCGACACCAATTCGCCCAAATGACACAAGCTCTCTCGAGCACCAATCATGAGGCACTAATAAAGGTCGATGCAGGTGGAACTCAAAAACCACTTAATGCGGTGAAAGTGGCGTCACCTCCAACCGCCCATGCCCACTGTATAGATTATCACCCTGGCCTTGCAAGAATTTTCGAAAGATGCAGTCGCAGCTTTTGTGAAGGCACCGGATGCACGCTCTTTACAGCCAAAGCATACCTCAGCTTTGCGGCAGCAGGTTATTTTGCCGAGGGGTGCACACGTAATGTACGGTTAAGAACTTTGACGAGTGAGTCAACAAATTCGCACTTTTTGGGCTAAATACTGAATTATGAAAGCAACAGCCAATTTGATGCTGACATTTCATGGAGGGGTAGGTTGTGAATCAGATTTGAAATGGAGCTGCTCTGAGGATGCTTTTTTTCGAAGGTAGGCGGATGAGTGAATGAAGTTCTTTTACGATTCTTAATCGTTTCTAACTTTTTCAAATGATGCAAAACTGTAATTGTGCTTGACGTCGCCCCTACTGTTAATTCATTACGGGTAGTTCGAGGTGGAGAGAAGGATGGATAGATGATGAATGATCGGATGGGTAGGTACAAAATAGATGGCTTCTTCCTGCCTCTCTATCGCCCCGGTCGTAGCTCGCCGCCGGTCTCTATCCCCAATTAGTGCGCGGAGGCGTCGTTTTAATCAGTTAATGGGGCCTCATTGCAACATATCAATCAACCTAACCGCTCATGCTTCCATCCTCCTATCCACCTACTTATCACTTCATTTATTCACAACTTTATCCACCCACTTGTACGTTTTTTGAACTGATGCATATACTAGTCACATTAGTTCTTCAAGCCATTAGCCCCGTTTTATGACCATGTCTTGTCTTTTCAGAGTTCACAGGGTTAACGGTTTCGTTATTCTCCTACTTTCCATCCTAAACCCCATTTCATCCATGCCGTTGAGTTGTGTAGTATGCGACCTCAGGAGTCTGCAACAAGAGTGGAAGTGAGTTTAAGTGGCTCTACTCAAACCCATTGCACAAACATTGCTTCCTTCGTTAGACTTAGTGTTTTTCGACTTCGTGCCAGATACTCAACAACATCAAAGATCGCCTTACTAGAGGTGGGAGTGATGTTTTGCTTTCTTATTATTCCATCCAATAAAGGAAGGAATCATTTTGAGCCTTGGCCTACTTTGGGATAGAAATTTGATCTGATTGCTGTCAAGGCCTTCGATCGTCCGATTTTGGCCTTGGAAACCAGCGTTTTGCCCCTAAATGAAGCCGTTTTGACTTTTATCTGCTTTTTGGATCATGCTGTCTTCTGCCAGGAGGATAAACATAGTGATCGAATCTTGTCAACCTCTATTACTTGTTTGAACGAATAGTTCATGCTAATCAAAGACCTTTGATAGGGTGAGAGTGGTGCTCACCACGTTGAAATAAGTTTTGAAGGGATGCATGCAGCGTCTCTACAGAGGTTACCGAAGTGGTTCCTTCCTTTGAGAGTACGGTCTGAATCACTGAATGTCTTCGGCGAGTTCGCGAAATTTAGCAAAATGCACCATGTCTAAATAAAGCGAGAAACCTGGCTGTGATACAAACTCATCGTCATCTTCGTGGTTTCAGCGGACCGATCGAACGGGTACTTTTGTCAGCTATGTTGAGTTGTTATCAAATATACATTACGAAGACCTTTTTTTAGTAGAGCGTCTTCCCGCGGATGGGAATTCGACTGGCCAATTCCATCTGTCCTTGAAAGAGGGGTTATTTTTGGTGAGGTGCACTTGCTGTGCTACTGTGTCATTGCATTTTTTCTCATCGGTGCTTACTGAACGGGTGGTGATTCGTGAAGAGGGAAGAGGTAAATCCCCGTTGGACAAAAAGCAACTTTAAATGCCAATTTACCCATCAATCCAAGCAATAGCGAAGCGGTACCTTAACTAAGCGATTTTAAATGTGGAACTACGAATAAGAAAGAATGAAAACTGACCGGCAGCTACACCTGTAACGCCCTCCTGGATTAGGAGAACCCAATAATAAAGCGGAGGAACTATTAAAAGTCACGGGAGGCAAAACGCTAATGTGTGGAACTAAGGAGAGGAAATCAAAAAAAGCTAATTTCGAAGCAATTAACGATACCTAGGTCCATCCACCGTCGCTTCTATCTCACCTTTGCTATCCCTTCACATGTTTCTTTGTCATGCGATTGTTTAGCGTTAAGAGGAGGTCCCCAAAGTTGATGTGGGAGATCTTGGTCCGTCCTCATTCGCCGTATTCCTCTCTCCAACTCATATTTCCCCGTCCGATGCCTGTCACCTTCCCTTGGCACTGAGCAATAACACGACATGGAGATCCACGAATCGGGAAAGTTGAGGTAGAGGCCGAAGTGGATGTTTGCTTGTAGAGTCACATAATGTCTATTGAAAACCGATCTAGCACCTACCTCGAATCCTGTGATCGCTGTCACCATATGAAAAGAGGTTCTTCTTCTTTATTGGATCGATTTATTTGAAAGCAAGTTGTATCAATTTAAGTGATTATTTTGAAGATCAATAGAGGTAGAGTTAATGCCATTTCCTACAAAATGCGATGAATCCAGAAAGTCAATTTGTCAGCCTTACGGTAGTGTTAGGAGCCCGGTAGAGTGTTAGGCAGTTAGCAAGTATCCAGGACAGGAACATAACTATGGACAGAAAACCGCCCACAATTATGGCGATCACTCCATAGTCAAAAGTGGACCTAGAAAACAAAAATTGCGTTGTGTGGAATCTGCAGATGACGTAAAAAACGGGTAGTCATGAGTGAATGAGTGATGATGTAAATCGTTCATGTCAATGGCAACCGGGAGGTCATGGAAGCCGAATAACTACGTACCATAAACATCAACAGCAGATGATGGACATTAAAGCTCTCTCCTCATTTTTACCTCATCAACTGCTGACTGAATGGAATGAGCGCACAAAGGTGTCATCGGTTGTCCATCTCCTTAAAAGGTACAGTCATTAACCACCCCACTCACACATACCGTGCAAGTGCGAACGAGCCGCATTTTCGATTGAGCTCTCCTGCCCAACGGACGCTTGCGTGCAGTGATATCATTTACGCAGTAAGTCGATCAGTTGATGATTTTTTGGTCAGCAAATTTTGTAAGGCCTCCTAATTGGAAAGGATGCAAGAACTGATGCAATGCGAGGACTGACTCAACTCGATGTGAAATTATCTGATACTACCGCAAGTCAGGGGCGAAAGCGTTTCGAAACCAATGCCTCAATCCTCCACCGAAGTAACTTAGGTGGTACCTTTAAGAATCAATGGAGCTAAACCTTACTTTAAGCATATGAGAACCAAAAAAGGCCGTAAGGTCTACGATCTATCATCCCATTCGACTACTGCACAAGCCAATTACAAATTCTGCCTTTGCAGGATGTTTTTTCTTGACAAACAAATAAATTCAATCAACCACCTACCTCTCTTTCTAGCTCATTTTTATTTTCCAATTACATAGTGATTAGTATCACTTGGAGAAATGCGGAATGGTGGAACAAGGAGGATGGGTATGAAACAGTACCATCCGCTCTCGGTCCCTTCCTCTCTCCCAGCCTAAAATGTACGTTTTCTCAAGAGTCAGACTTACAACTAGTTTCGGCAGCATGAGGTTTCAGGCACCCTTGCAAGAGCAGGAAGAGGACTTGCTTTTGACAAGTCCACCCGTCCTGACTCTCACTGAAAAAAAGATTTTCTGGCAATCGTTTGAGAAGATTAATATCAGTCATATTTATCGTTTGGTCTTTAAAACGTGGACAGTGCCTAGGGGATAGGTGCTGTATCGTCCACCACACATACATCCCAGGCATTTTCCCTTGAGGACAAAACGCTATGTGCCTCCGAACTGTGGGATGGGTGGTGAGTACTTTGTTCCTTTACTTCAGGTTGCAATACAAAATCTATTTCTTATCGCCACCAGAGCTTAACCACTTTTTAACCGAATACTACAAACCCGCTAGGTACATTTCTATTAAGCAAACTTCTCCCTTTAGGTTGGAGTGACAGGCCTTACTGATGAATACTCCAGGAAACAGACATTTTTTAGTACCTTTTGGCAGCTATTTAACATTTTTCCCAAAAAAAAACAATGCAAACGTTTGGAAATTTGTGATCCTTTAGTTTCGCTATCTATCAATTCTGCTGTTAAATATCAGATATTTTGGCCATTTCTGAACGAATTCACTATAGTAGGTACTTAAAACACTTTGGCAGCGTGTCATCCAATAACCTATTCTCCGGCAAGATAGGTTCAATTGAATCGCCGATTTAGTCTCCAAAAGCAATTGGCAGGTTCATTTATACCATATTTTTTTTTCAGTAAAGGCACTTGACAAACTTGGAGAAAATTGAAGACAAGGAAGGGTAAAATGCGACTGTAGGTGGTCTGCATAACTTAGGGAGGCCTGCAGCGGGCGTGTTCGCCTGTACACCTCGTAAGTGCCCTAGAAGGCATGGGTGTTGTTTTCAAAGATACATAGTTCAACCTTCATGACTTAAACGAAACAACAGAAGATTCTCTATTAGCGGGTTGGAACCGATACTGATCGATGGATAGTACTGAAATGACGGAAAACCAACAAGAGAACATGCTTGCCGAATACCAACTCCATCACCTGGTAAATGGCTCCAATTTTGGACAAGCGCTTCCATGACCAGCGACCGACACCTAAATAAACTCGCCCATTTTTGAGTAGTACAACTCGTAAAGAAAAGGAATTTTTGCGCACAATAAGGATGCTTGTCACCAAAGGGGAGCTCAGTGTGGGACGAAAGCCGTGTTAACCTTGGATATTAGTTTGATTACACTTCTATCTTGCGCAATGACCATTCAGCCATGTCTATGACCTCCTAGCCTTCCTGTACGTAAACAGCATTTCCTCCATATTGATATAGCTTTCTACGGCTAGAGGGGGTGGATATTATGTTAGACAAAACACGGCTTATAAGTACACGTGCTTGTTCATAAGAAAGACTGAAATCTCCCCCAAAAATCGTCTTTTTTCCGAACTAACAAACTGGCTCTGTGAACCGTTAAAAGCCTACGAATTATGGGCAACGGTCTCTTACAAATGAAGTTACGTATCTATCCAAGGAAAAAAATCCAAAAACTAACCTTTTCTCAGACACTTAGGTTGATAAGCTACTAAAATGGAATAAAGGCATCAACCCACAGTAACTCCAAATTGTTATTAGGATCGGTAAAACTCTTTCCTTCGCTTCTGCTGTTAAATAAATCGAAGGCCATTAAAAGGATACCAACGAGGAGCATGCAGGGCCCACCAATTAGTAGAGCTTGGGAACAGATCTTCAGAGCCATTTGGCAAACCACAGTGCAACACACTCCCTCTCCACTTCCCAGTTTCGGTGGAGATCATAACCACGCCGCTGTTATTATGCTTTGAAGCAACCTGTACGAAAATGGCTTCATGAGGTTTACCTTTTGCGTTGAGTCAGTGACCTAGGCTTTCTGTACGTTTCATGGTGACATGTTTAGAGACAACCTACTCCGACGTGAATTTCATGAATCTACTCCATGAAGAGGAACGGCAGTGCTGCTAAATGTTACAGCAGGAATTTATCCGCTCTAATGGCTGAATCTACGGAGACCTATGACACAATTACTTGCAATGCGTTGCCACAAACTGACAAGGACCACATCTCATACAAATTTAACCTAGATTTGTAGACAGGGAAATCGAGATGTTGCGCAACTACTACGTTAAAGACGAATGTTTGGGCAAAAAAACGGCCTTTTCTTATAAAATGTGAGTAAAGATTTAACAAAATCCGCTTATACGCTACTATATTTAAAAGTACTATGAATTATTTGCAATAACTTCATATGCATACTAAGGGACAAAACGGCTTTATTTCCTAGTCCTTCACTATGCCCAACTGCATTGACCTCATCCATTAGAATATGAAGAGAACTGCTCAATAATCACTACTAAAAATCTATTAAAATAGTAAGGGAGTAGATCGCAACTGCTTGACGTGTCTGAGGTCGGTTACTAGGGTTTGACATCAATATTATGCAGCGATAATAATTTTGATAGTCTGTTGGCTTTTGTCTACACCAATCAACTGTCCGATTTGCTAATGCCACCTTATGATTAATCACTTAAAGATCAGCGCTATGATTTGATTGGTGCTTATTTCAATTAATTAAATTTCGAACCCTCGCTTTGATTTCGACTAAACCATTTTGCCATCTGGAGTATGCAATCCATGAAAGTGGTTTTTTGAAGCTAGTTGGACAGATCTAAGCTTGATGACTTAACGTTTAGACAAAAAAGGTAGAACGAGGGTTGAGAAGAGTCTGGCAAGTTGCGTCGAAAATATATTTACTGGTCTAAAGGCATTCCTATACCATTGTGTCTTACTAAGGATTCCTCACCATCCAAATCCCTTATCTACCCTTCCGGTTCATTGACTTCTGCAAGGCTGTCACTCCTGACAGCTCCGTCGCGAAAGTAGATCCGCACGAAGCGACGGCCAGTTTTTTTTCTGCAGAAATGCAAATTAGGAGAACTGTAGCGCTGTTAATATAGTCTATTCGCATAAGAGAAGCGTGGGATTTTTGATCAAAGTTAATACTGTCAAATCGAATTTTCTATCTACAAAATACTAGTCCCACCGACTAAAATGGGGAAATTCGCTCCAGCTTAAAATGATATGAGATATCTTTTAGCTGGTGGGATCTAAAATAATGAAATACAATACGTTATACAGCCTAACGGGGCTACTTTTATCAACGGGGCTCATGGCCATCCTAGAGCCAATGCATTCCACTGATGTCATTTTCCCGGACCTTCCATATACTTTTTAAACAATTCCATTCCAAAGACTTTTTGAGGATATCTCTAGCTTTTCGGAACTATAAAATATTGATCAAAAAACCTTTTGCTTAAGAAGCTTTCGAATCCCGAGTTTCAAAACAAAGAAAGTCTTAACCCCTATAACCATATTACGTGAATTGTTGGTATCCGACTGCTTGAAATTCGAAATATAACTATGGTTTGAGCAATTTGAGCATTAAAAAAGCACAAAAGCTCTCAAATCTATTTAAACCCGATATATCCATTCCCATACAAAAGTGATATGTTAGCTTTATGCGCAGACAAGCATTTGCTCCTAATAATCTTCCTAAAGTCTATTTATTTATGAAAATGGTTATCTTTAAAACTTGCACGCGTGTTAAAGTTAGTAATTTTCAAACACTAAGTAGTGCATAAAAGCAATTTAATCTAAATGGAAGGATGAGGTTTTGTGGTCCATATTTTGTAAGTTTATTTAAATAATTACTCATTCGTCAATACGATACGATTTCACTTCTTCAAGGTAGAATAAGGTATTTTATTTTAAATCCTTTGTTATAAACTGGATAGCTGCGGTTACAAAGCTTAGTTTATCTCAATGTTAATAAAAAAAGGACGCTTTATTCTTTGCTGCAGCCAAAAATAAGGGAACTTTTAAAGAAAATGCTAAAATGGCCTCATAAAATATCGTTGACACTTAAAGTAAGAAATTCTTTACTGCTCGCGAGCCAAGAACTTGTTAGCTTGCCACAAGTTACACTGACAATGGTCATTTGGTAGATTAGCCACAGCATCTGCCGTCTCAATTGAGCTATGCAAATCAGTCAGCCCTGCTGTGCCTCTTCTTTCTCCAGACGCCTCACGTTTTTTCCTTTTCTTTGCTTCACATGACTCCGTTGCCATTCCGCCAATGGCGACAGTTGTGCGGTGGAGTTCATAGACTTCATAAGGTCTTCCTTAATCTATCTTAATCAAAGTCTGCAATAAAGTTATCCCTAAGAAAGGCCAAAACAGGTACCCTTTCGGGACTCTTCTCAATAACTGCGAGCGATTCGAGTCTGGCTAAAAGAAATTAATTTTCTATTACAAGTAACTAAAGAAAAGGGTATTCAGTGTTGTTTTGCCCAATCACGTCTTCAAATTGGTAGTGCCCACTTGTTTTAGCAAGATCTGGTTGATAAAAGTTCATATTTTACTTGGAATTCGGACGCTAACCTCTTAATACCCCACAAATAGAACTCTCTTTTTGCATTACCCTGAACGCAATCAGCAACAAAGATGTTGAATGAAGTAAGAAGGAAAATTGGTTCATGCTGTACACGTATGGTACTACCTGACGCCCGAAGGAAATACCTGATTCCCTATTTCGTGTGGGGTTTCTAGTGGCTACATTAATATTTGGTCTCGTTTGATGCTCTGCTGATTGCTATTCCCACATATAAGTTGATCGTTTGAATAACTTCTTGGCCGCTCCTCCAATAAAGCTTTATTGTGCGTTTATTGGTGCAAGGCTTTGTCGACAAGTCCCTTCACTAGATCAAATTACATAGACTTTCGGACAGGCATTCAAATGTTTTTAATCCGCTTTCCAATCGTAAAAAGTGCTCTTTTTTACGCATTAAAAAAGTTTAAAATTGCACCAACAAGTTTACTTCCCCTTTCTTTTCCCATTGGTTGAGCCAAGTAATGGCAACACTCAACTGAAAGTTTCTTGCTTACAGCCTCTTTCGTACACGCTTTTTGAGAAGAGCAAGTAAAATCGGAGTCCAAATCACATGCAGAAGCAGTACTTGTTAAATAATTAAACAGAAAACGGTGCCCTCTTTGAGCTACCCAATCCAATTATCAATGGTCCCTTACTCGCACTACTCAGTCGTTCTATGTCGTGAAACGGATTCTTGATTGGTTTATCAGTTCAGACAAACAAGCATTTTACTGAATTTCGCGCTTTCATTACCAAGTACACTTGTTAAGCAAAGGTCTGAATGTGCCATCTGCTGAAGTTCTTTTTGACCTCGCAAAGTGTTTTAAAAATCCAACGCATGGATTTGAATCTTGAACATTAATTATGGGAAGCAGAATAACGTCATTTGCAAAAAATAAAGTTCTTCGGTCCTGTTGGCCCATAAGAATAAATAAGCAAAATTTTATATATACTTTTCCAACGGAAACAATAAGTAGAAATCTAATTTTTGTTCATATCGGTTGGCCAATGAAATTTGTGTTATTTTCACCTCCTTTCCAATGTGGAGATGCGGGGTAACTTAAGCAGACTGGCAGAGTGCAGGCGATTTCTACCCGTCCGCATCATAAAGCAGCCTACCAATGCAGCACTTTTTTTCGTGCTCTCTAATGTGCATATTTTCCTGCTTTTGACTTCGCCCTCAATCCATCAAATGTTGGTTGGATATTGGGTGGGTGCGATTAGCGATTCATTGACCCACGAATCAATCGAGTTAGACTCGATTCCAAAGCAGTAGATGTTCCCCATAAAGTATATTATTGAAAAATTCGCAAAAGTGCAGTATTAATGTGATCGTTAAAACAAATGTTTAGTACTTACGTTCCATGCGAAGGGATTGCCGAGGCGGAAGCCATCAAACAAATGAATGTCGTGTACATGTCAGGTAAGAGGAGGCTTTGAAGATTATCAATTTGTCAGTTGTTGCTCCTTTCTAGTACCCAATAAATGCTTGTAGAACGTTTTGTGGGTTGTTTAACTCTTAAACACTATAACGGCTGACTCGTGATGCAAAGGACTATTCCAATCGCCCTCTCATTCCTGTTATCCATAAAAACAATCTGCTTGTTACCCACTTCATACCTCTGATGCAGGGATAACCCCAACTCCAGGAGTCTGTGCTTGCTTTGTGTATGTAGACTGGTTGGGCTGCAAACGCAGCTGATCACAATAAATGAATGCTTTGCTGAAGGCCGAAGAACAAACACAGTTTTGACCTACCTCTCCGGCAAGGTACAACTCATCTCCTGAAGGAGCCAGGACTAATTAAAAAAAGGTATGTCAGAACCTCGAATCGTAGGCCAAAAAACTAGCCCTGGAGAAGGAGTTTAATCACCTTCGTCCTCTGCACTTCCCTCATTCACATAGACAAGAAGAGTACCTAGTAAATAATAGCGAGATAGAAGGGTAAATAATTCGAGTTAGTTTAGTTACCTTCTCGTGGAGGCAGGGCTCTTGTACCACAGTACAGATTCTTTCAAATAGTGAAGTTTTTGAAATATTCCACCGCTTTTTAATTACCTAACACCCTGGTAGTGGATTTTAGTTCCGTCCCGATTGCATTCCTTCCTGGATGCGGCTACTATCCGTTAAATTATCCCCTAACTGCCCTGGTAACAATGTTTCCTGCAAAATTTTTATTTATTTTTGTGCTTTCTGGTAGAATATAGTGATCCAGCTTATTTCAATAGCACCCATTTGAGTGGTGCCCCCAAACAAGGCTCCACGGTATTTTAGGGTAATTAGGTGCTTCCCATGTGTAAAATCTACCTGGCAAAATAACCTTTTTGCCTAACAACACCATTATTTAAACTGTAACACAATGATTCTCGCATTCCATCAGCAGAAAAAGTAGCAGAATGAAAATGTCAGGCGATTAGCTCCCTTCAGGTGATTAACAGCCTTGGTGATACGTGTGCATGTGTGTGTGTGAGGAATACAAATGCGTGTCTTTTACAGTAGAGTTTGATCTTTGCTTTCGGTTCTGAGGTGGCACGCAATTTTCACTCTTCTGCCTGTCAGTCTATCTATCTCTCTATCTATAAATTCATTCTGTATCCATCTATTCACGTGTCCATTTATTCACCTGTCCGATCGCCCCGGACCCATACATCTAGCCATTCATCCCGAATTTGCGTACCTCTACCAAATATTTCCACACATCTAGTCCAATCATCTTTACACCCGGATATATTTTGAATCCTTTCATTCACCTTCTAGAGAGGCTCCTAAATTAGTCTCTTTCCTCCATCTGTTCACCCTTTTCCATTTCTATCATAAGTCCTATCTGCATTCAGCTAGGATAAATCAACTCATCCAAGGTTTATTCATCCACCCTGAAATAGTCGATCCACTCTACCATCCACCCCTTAATTCTAAGCCTATCATCATTTACCTGAGACTCATCTACACATATTTCGATCTTTCCAGCCATCTCGAATCGCTTTTTGTCCTTCCAAGACCCGTACATCCATTCCAGACCCTTCCATCCTATTTCCACATCTGTGAGCTTCAAAAGATGTCATCTCCGTGGCGAGACAATACCCCTCGCTGAAACACGATACCGTCCTGTACTATAATGCCAGAAGCGGTGGCAACACCGAGATGCTAGATATTTAGTGGATTGCATTCCCTTCCCCTAGGACTGACAACATTCACATTCCCGATTGCCATTAATGCGATTGTTGCTTACAGTTTGTGTGCATTTGTAAGAAAAATGAGCCATGAAAATGTCTTCTTTATTCCAAAGTTTTTAAAATGGGTGATTACCACCAAATATAGGAAACTGCTATGGTTTGGTTATCGTGCCACGAACAGTCCCCCCATTCATTCATTATATCTGCATTCCCCCATTTTCACTCTCTCTGTTTTTTGCTCCAAACTTTAATGTTTTGAATCTCCAAACCATCTTTTTACCCACTCACTCGCCTCTGTTCGGTCTGGTCTTTTTCATCTATCTCTCGAGCTCATCCATCCCTGAATCATGTGATAACTCATCTCGGCGTCCTTATACCCATTTTGGTTTCACCAAACCATGAAGCAATCCCCAAAAATCAGTGTAAATCTATCCATCTTGTTTCCATTTACCCATCTTGTATCCATCTACCTCTACAAGACTTATCAATCCATTAAAAATAAATGTGTTTTCGGTCTATCTACCCATTTCTCTTAAACTTTTGCTAAGAAAGACGGAAAAGGAGACGAAAATGAAGTGCTCCTGAAGAATAGGAGGTGAGTTTATTCGTTGATTTGGGTGAGCAGTTGAAGGTAAAAGTAACTGGTGGATTCCAGATCAGATTTCATAATCGTTCTTTCATGAAATCCAGTTCACCCGATCCATCGGTCGTTCATGAATTCAGGGAATTTCATGCCATTTGTCTTGGATGTGCCCGCATCTAATCCCTTCAACTCCGCTCCGTCAATCCCGCATCCATTCATCCATCCATCTGTCCACCCATTCCGTATCCATCCATTTCATTGCCTTCCTCATGCCTGTGCCATTTTACCGGAAATCCTTGGCTCATTTTTCATCTCATAATGTCAAAGTATGTGTTGCCGTTTTAAGCCACAAAAAGGGCACATTTGAGTGAGTGAGTGCTTACCTTACTGCAATGTGATGCTTCCCACGTTCCATTTACAGAATGCAGATGCAATGCCATGTCCGACAGTAAGTGGCTTGGAGCACTTTCCCTCTTGGGATGCAATTTACGGTCTCAGATCAGCGTCTCCGAATATGGGAACGAATTGCGACGTAGAAACTTGTCTTTGTGCGACAAAGGTCTATAGGTGACGCTGTTCACTGAAGGTGAGTTTTCCTGCTAATCAATTGCTTTAGCGGTTGCAATTAAAGAGGACGATCAGCTCTATCATAATTTGACAAAGAAAACGCTTTGAGTTAACATATTTTGTAAAAGGAATCAAACCGAGTGTTTAACAGTTGCAATCCCCGGAAAAGATCGTGTTGGGTCAGCTTCTAACAGGCAATATCCAATACAGTAGCTTCTTGAATACATCCACTTATCCATCTCGACGTCGATCGCAGATTTATCCAATCCCATATCTTTCCAACCACTCGTCCAGCACTACCTATATCTAATACAAACCTATGATTGGTCCTTCCCTCTTTCCATACACTCATGTACTCAATCCAATTTACCTACACACCTACCCCTGCATCCATCCCTGATCCAGCCGTTCGTCGATCCACTAATAACTTCAGCCACTCCAGTTTTAGGCATTGAATCCAGATCAATCCATCTAAGATATACTTGCCCATTGGTTTCAAAGGATGCCTTTGAATTTAACAATCAAAGCCATCTCTTCAGAGGATGAGATCATCCTCCTCCAGTTCCAGCCAATTAGGCAGTGAAAACAGAAGAAGCTTTAGGCGAATGTGCGACATCTGGGAAGCTGCTGGCGATTAGCGGTACTTCCAGCCACAATTTGTAAGCCTGTTCAAAAGACTGTTTTACTTTTAGCCGAATTGCACTACAACCGATGGCTTTTTTACCCAGTGCTCGATTTCTGCTTTTGGTAGAAAATGAGTGAAAACCTTGGCTATTTGGTAATCGCTAAATCTAATGAGCCTCTTTGTTGTGGTTTTAGAGGTCGAACGATTAGAAAGCACTCGAACAACTAAGTGGGCTTGAATGTGCTTGAATATTTGATCGAATGCATTTGATGAATGATTGGATAAAGACTGACCACAAAAGTCAGCTTTAGTCTTCCTTCCATTTTCATATTCTTGTTGATTCCTATAAGTGCGTGTGTGTATGTGTATGAAGACCGTTAAAGACTGATTTTCTTTGGTGTCCACGTCAATTACAGGCAATAAAATCGTGCAGAGGCTGAAGTATGATTTGGAAATTATTAGAAAATCTTCTCAAAGACCATTATGGGTAATTTCGCAATTCTTCCAAAAAATTGCTTACATCTACGAAATTAATGTTGTTGAGATATCAAGCCAGCAATATCCTTAAATTGCGAAAGCTCGAAATTTTATCAGTTACCAATACTTCTCCGCGGTATATAATCAAATCTGTGGCTTTACTTTACAGATAAATTAGTCTGATGGACCACGTCCGCGATCCTCCAGTTTTCCCTAATTCATATCTGACAACCTCTTAGCAGATGATAGGACATTTGATCCCTCATTGATTGCGTTACTAAATGGAACGTACTTTCAAAAGTGAATATTTTCACTATGGTGACGGGTGACTTTAAGCTTACCAATTTTAAATCCTGATCATGCCATTCTACCAATCAGAGAGGTAGAGATGAATACGTACTGCTCATTTGTAACTCCGGTGCGGCAAATTAATGCAGAAGGTGTGACAATAAACAAATAACCTAGACGTCAGGTCTTATTTATGAATTCAGTCATCAGATATTGTTATTGTAGTGATACAGAAGAGGTGATTCGTTACCCACGTTAAAGATAGTGTAAGGGTTGTAAAGTTGTCTAGTGAATGTCCGCCTACATACCGTTTTGGCTACCAGCTCCAGCACTTTCGGTCGTTGTTGCACAACTTCTCCCACTAAAAATTACTAAAACAACAATAATACACCGTCCATATAGTCAGCCTCTTGGGATACAGAGAGGAAGAAAGTTGCTGATGCATCGTTTTGAGAATCTTCGAGATTTCCCTTACAGTAGAAGCGTACATCGTGTGCATTTTCATGAAAGTTCTTTCAGAGATAGGACCTGACCGGGGAAGCATGGAATCTTAGGCTGTACGTTGATCCACATAGGGCATTTTCAAAGATGTTCCTCTTCTGCATCAGCCTTTGAAACTGCCTTTTTATCAAAATGAAACGAGTTGTGAGACAGACTTCATAGCTTAGTTTATCTCGTAGCTTCAGGGGGATATATCTGTCGCGCCCTTTCAATGCACTAAATGATGTTCGGCACAGGTCCCATTCCGTAGGGTTATTTGTATATTCGTGAGAAGGTCGTGGCCGGTGAGCGGAGGGAAAAGGAGAGGTTAGATGCTAACGTTTTTCTTCCTTAGGGAAAAGTGGGCACTAACTAAGTTGTCAAATGAGCATGATATTTTGTCTCAGATAGCCCAAATTTCTGATAGAAATTAACCGTTTCTCCGACAGGAGTCATGGCCACAGAATGATTCAACTGATTTTCGTTTCAATTTTATTAAAAGAATGTAAGCTATATAGTAATAATTCACTCTTGGAGATACCAGCAGACTTCGGATTTTAAGGGAACTCTATCAATGCCAGAGGTGATGGGAATACTAGAACTAGGAAGAATACGTGTGATTAAGGGGTGAACAAATGATTTTTCCCCAGACTTCAACCAAAGGGTAAGAGGTGGTGGTGTGAGTTCGAGTAAACGTTCCCAATTTTGCTATTCCTGTCACTTTCTGATCCAAAGGAAATGTATTATGATTGTTGTTCTTCGGACAAATATCACTAGGCTAATGCAGTTAAGGTAGTAAATTTAACACAAATCAAATTAAAAATGAGTAGATTTTATTGGACGATGATTGAATAACTCCAAACGAATTGGCGACCCTAATTAAATTTGGGAATCCATACAATCTACCATGAGTTCTTTTTAACAATAATTAACAGATAAAGCTTTTCTTTTCCTTAAAAGGTATGAATAAGGAAACAATGAATACCAAGCATTTGTAAAAGGCTATTTGATAATTTATGCACCTTAGTTCCTTTTAATTGACTAATGGATAAGGTGGAAATATATACTTCTGCTTACTTGAAATGGTGTTCACCAGGGCTCGATTAATCACAAATCCACTCAGTATCACAAATTCTCCTAAATATTTTTTTACTCTTGGCTTTAATAACAGGGTTATTTGAGACATACTTGGGCCAATTAGCAGATCAGACACTCGTTTGACCAATGGTCGGTTGGAGACGACGCCAATACCCCTTTAGTCTCCACTACACCCCTCTACCGCCCCCACCCATCCGGCCAATCAATGCGTCTATCCTCCTTTTGGCGTGACTAGCTTAACAAGCAGCGCGCCTTTTTCACACTGCTAGTTATCATAGCACACCAGTTGCTACCAGGCTACGTAGATTGGTTGGAAAATCACCCCCTTCTCTACTACCACTGCTTCAGTGGAATCGACATTTTCCAGTCGATCTGTGAGATCTGTGAGTGGCCATTTTTTTTCGGTATTTGTTCAGCAGAACAAGGAATTGTAGATTTTGAATTAACCGTAGGAGAATGGGAAGGATAAAGAAGCGCACCAATTCATGAGGTGTCTAGGCTTGCAATCTGGCCTTATACCTGCCACGTGTGAGCATTACTCATCGGCGAATAGTCGATAAATTACGCCGCGTGACGCATGCACATGAAAGTCGACAAATTTTTGCACTTGCCATGAAACCAGGGAAGATGGCTAGCTGTTCTAGGTAGGAGGCAAAGTCTTCCTCCTATTTAAAGTGACTAAACATATGTGCGAAACGATTAATAGAGTAAATCACTCGACACGCATAAATAGCTTTTCAAATAAAATGCTAAAGATGTGTCACTCTACTTCATTCGTTTTAACTGAGTTGGAAACTATGACCGTTTTTTTGAGAAAAATGGAAATGAACGGCTTTTTTGCGATTTGATGATATGCGTAAATAAAATTGGATCATTTTAAAGCGCTGCCTAGTACAATCACCTCGCCATGGCATTACTCAAGCAACCTGATACATATCTAAGCGTGGATGACATTCAAAGAATAATATAATTCTGAAAAAGGCTTTGACAATTTAAATATATGCTTTTTATGTGTTTACTAAAAAATTTGCTTCATTTTTCCGGGTTTTGTTTTCCGGTATGTTTATTAAAACAAGAGAATTATTTGTAATATGCTGTTTTAAAATATCAGCATCGAGTTCGCCTAGTAGAGTTGATTTGTACAAGTGCTTTCAAATATGAAGCTTTTATACCATAATTTTTATGCTCCATTTAATTTTTTCGGTTTTCTACCCTTAAAGATCAATTGTTGAAAATACTTAACCAGAACAATAAGGATTCTACGTGGTTGCAAGCTAGTAAGCATCAAAATCACCCATTTACGATATTCGTTTTAGAATTAAATAGCCGAAAAAGAACGACGATTTTATTTCGCCCCAATTCCTTTACTTCATTAGCCAATAGCGAAAGAGAAGTCCTTGATGCGTTGATTCATGAATACATAGTAGTCGTTAAAGCTCCCTAATAGCTCTTCATAAATAGTGGTAGATGGAGTAGGCCCGCGCACCATTAAAACAAAGGCAGACAAGCTAGGTACGTTCTACCTCGGCGCCCTTTGTCGCTATTACACCCTTCTGTAATCTAACCATCGTATCGTCGGTTGATGCATTGGCGCCGTTCACCCGTCCAATAGACCAAAAGAACACCATCCTGATGTGGATTTTGGTGGGGTTCTCCATGCCACTTTCGGGTAGATAAGCTGCACCAGAGTGGAAGAGATGTTTTACTGCAAAAATATCTCGTGGAATCTTTTTCCCAAAGACCAATCCACTCTCCAAGTCGGTAAAGATTGACCGTCGGCTATCTGTGTTTGGCAGATGGTTAAGTGACGACCATTACAAGAGTACCTAAGCGAGGTAGAGTCACTCACCCGACAGGAACAAAGATCATGCCATGATTTCCCATCTCAGCGAGTAGGCTTGTGAATCAATCGATAAGGGCAAATCTCACAGATTTTGATAGAGTTCATCAGTCGTGTCCACTTTGGATAGGCTGTATCGCTTACGTCTGGACGATGTTCCACAAAGAATGGACTTCATGAGACTGACAAGTGCTTTTTATAAGAGCATTCGTTGAATAACATAATATGGAGTCCCGAGGCTTCCCCGAAGCCATAACGCGCCGGAAAGGCCTAGGTGATTATTTCTACATCACTGCAGCGACACAACGAGTATCCCCCGGATTTGCTTCCAGGTGTCCTTCTCCCTTTCCATTCCATTCGCAACTTGAATGCAATCCATCACCCAGCCCATTTTATGAGGGTCCTTATTCCGTCTCGCAAAATCAACAACTGGTGCTAATCATAAACCCTCAAACCGATCATTAGTATTGTAGCGATTTGGTGTTTTGTTTAACCACATGGGTACTTCATTCTCCGCAGCTGATACTCCTCACTCTGCAGGCAGCCTTTTACCCCTTTCAGTAGGTCAGTAAGTAGTAGGTTCTTCCCCACCACTCTGGCTTATTGAGACTTTAAGGAGGACTCACGAGGCTACATTCCGTCCACGCACGTCCTCGTAGCTAAGATTCTGCTAAACAAAATTTCAATTCGTGTTTCCTGATAATGGGGAAAGGAAAAGCAACCATCACCATCGCCATTGATTATCCTATAATCACCTCATCTGATGCAATTTCAGAGGGAATGGAATTTAATTAATTTCGTGGAGGACATTAATGAATTTGCCCAAGGCGAACACAAACCGTCATCTAGGCAATGAATTTTAATTCCTTGTGATTCTCTTTTTCCTTTCCAGCGTGAATTTTATTTCTCACTTTCAAAAGGGCCATTTTACTTCCGGTAGGTGCCTTATTTTATTTTCCACTTGTTCGCACTTCTGCTTTTGGTTTCATGTTCTTGAGTTGAGAAGACCGCTCGGAGAAAGACATCTTTATTGCGGCAATGTGGAAGAATTTTTTTGGGGAAGTTAAAGCTTGCCTCCCCCTTCTCTCCCTCCTCGGGGATGGATGACGTCCTCTCGGTCAGTACGAATCGCTCTGCTCTGAATCTTCTCTGAAGTCGTAGTAATGTAATGCAAGAGAATAAGTTGCTTACTAACGTAAAAAAGAGCTGAGAGGCGATCACCCATAGCCCAAAGGCCACATCGCGCCCTGAAGTGCCCGCGCAATTCAAAATATCAGATCTCTACATAGATTACTCTGTAGAGATTTCCGCGACAAACGTTCAGCCGTAATTTACCAAAACAAATTGCTGAATTTTTTAGTTTGTCACTGTTTCAGAATTTGGACTAGCGAAATTCCATCTCTATTACCCAGGCAATTGGAAGGGTAGAAAAACAAACCCATCTTTTAAAAGTGGACACAAGATATACAAATGCCAGGTTAAGGGAAAAATGACGCTCAGATCTTCCATTTAAAACAGCTGTTCTTCGTCGGCACCCCCACATTTAGCACATTTGAGACATTTGCATTGTTTAGAGCCCCTCAACGGGAAGTCACTTATTGACACCTGACCTGGCAATCGCCAGCGCGTTCCCGCCAATGGTAGTTTGGAAAGAGCACACAGCTACAATGCAAGTCACAGAACTATTTATGAAGCAAAACTTCGAATGTGCTGGTTTTTGGACTTTTTATTCTTCTATGGCTGACCCTGACAGTTCAACAGGATAAGTTATCAAAGAATGGGCACCAATTAGAGGTCAAAATGCCAATCTCTGATTAGTCACGCCTTGAAGCATCGTCAGATGAATTTTGAGGTTAAATGATGTGTTTATGGTTTGAATGTGTGTTCCTGTCGCATTTCGCTTCCAATTAAGTGCAGATAATGCGTATCCGGTCCTCCGATTATCACCGTAAGTCGGTGTATTAATGGGAGTACTGTAGATGGTTCTTCGGGATTTAGAATCAGGTGAAATCTAGCCACAATGCAGACGTTGAGATCGGAGTAGATGTCAAAAGTCAATGCACTTTCCATTGTTCTTATGTCATAAGTCTTGTAAAAATTTATCCTGTCACAACAGGTTTCGCACCTTTGTAACCCCTTGTGGTAGTCTCCGGTCTCCCAAATCGGAGATGTTCTTGTTCTTATTCTCTTTGTGGAATGAGTTCACCGACGCTGCCACCAACATAGTGTCCAATGTGTCCCCTGAATATAAAAAGGCTTCCAAACCAAGACGTAACTTCGTTACGATGGGCGTTTAAGTCAAACCGGGGCTTTTTACCCTTCAAATAGAGATGTGTATGCTGCCATGGTGGTAATATATCAATTAGTGAGTGCCAAGTATGTCGAATGAGGGCCAGTCCAGTCCAGACACTTATTTGAGAACGAGGACCATCGGTAGCGCATGGGTCCATTTTGAACACTTGGTGATGAACGACACTTCCTGTAAACTAAGGTGCAAAACCCGAACCTGTAAATATCTCCTCATAAAGGAGGCTTCAAGGACAATATGTCGATGAAAGTCTTAGCATCAAGATGTTTGAATGTTGTGATAGTCGACCCTTCGTGGCTAGTTAGTCGTTTAAAAATGGCAATCCCAACCGAGTTGGTTCCGTTCCCAGAAGAGCAGTCATTCCCGAAATTTCGCAGAACACCTGATTAACGCATTATTGATCCCCTTCCGTGGCATTCTACCTCCAAAATCAAGACGTAAATCAAAGCCAGTTCACCATCAGCGGCATCTCAAAATGTATAACGAAGTGAAGCTGGCTACTTTGGATGGTTCACCTGTACTGACAACTTTTTATGTCAAAGCTTTCCGGGTCAGGTTTGCCCTCAAATGCTGGGGCGCTTGTATAGATGTGGCGGAAACCGCTTTAAAAACTAAACTTAAGCATCGTTTTTAGGGAAATATCCTGTGTTTTTTCTTGTGAAGGTGGAAACCTCGGTCGATTTGAATGTGTCCAGCAGATTTGTTTACTTTGAGGGTGAATATGAGTTAAGAATATTTTGAATCCTCAAACAACTCAAAAACTCGTGCAGACATGACTCACGGATTCCCATATAAATAATTCTCGAAGCTCACCCCATTTGCTCTTTGCCATGTTCGCAGGTTCTTGCCGAGTCATGGGACCCGGAAACTACTCTAGCAACACCAGTACCAATGGAGAGGAACTAAAGCCTTTGCGTGGAATCGTGCAAATGGAAGTAGGCCCGTCCCACCGGGACCGAATCAAACAATCAGAGTATCGAAAATTTCTGAAAATTAGGACCATTGTTTTCGGTATCGTGGCCTTCGTATTCTTTGTTGTTGGACTGCCTCTCGTCCTGTGCTCCAAGGAGACTGGAGGGTGAGCAAATTGAGTCATTTCTTCCGCGGGAACTTTTTCGCTGCCCAATTTTCTTACTTATGTCATCGCTTCACGAATATGTGAGGCCGTAACCATTGCAAATACAATTGCAGCAGATTTTGGCGGAGTTTGAGGAGAATTTGCGTATGCACAGCTACAGTTAACTCATCACTGTTTGCCTCTGCTATGGAATCAATTTAGCTGTCAAGTGAATGATACGCCGGAAAAGAAACTCTCCCTCAAACCATTGACTTACTTTCAATTTTGACGCGTCAGACACGTCCGCCCCTCCATCCATTCATTTATCCATCAATACTTAAAATTGTTTTCATTATTGTGAATTAAACGTCAAATCAATAATTAGTTAAAAATATTCTTTAGCCTTGAGGACTTTAGGTGCATTCCCTCCTCTTTGCTAATAAATATTTGAGATGTTGAACACTATTGATTGTTTACTTTGAACATGTTGTAATATTAGCGGCGGTCCTTTTAGGACACATTTCTTTTGAAGGCCGCACTTTACCGATTTTTCTTCTTAGTCGTGTTATATGGGCAACTGGTCTCATGTCTCTAGTACTGGGTGGCGTTTGTGCCCTCATCTTCTTCATCTACCTGCCAATTTTCATGCGGGTAATGGCAACGCGATCAGAAACTGCTGCCTATCACCCACGAACAGCTGAGGCACTGAGAGACGTAAGCAAGATTCCACAAAACATGATTATGTTTTATTCAGTTTTTTACCTATTTATTTTTGTTGATCATTTAGTCGCCGTATCCACGTCAGACCGACATAGCAGTGCCATCAATAGCAGATCAGCCGTCTTCACGACCACTGACTGCAATCAACCCAAATTATGACCCATCTGAAGATCCCTTGCTTCAAAGTGGGCCGCCAGCAATTCCACCGTTGCCAATAGAAGAGCCTCCACGATACGACTACATTCAACGAGATTAGCAAAGAATATAAAAGCGCAAATCTAACTGCCACCAATAATCAAACTACAGTGTATTTAACGGAAATATATTTGTATCCAACAGGTCATCTACTTTAGTGATATTAAAAGTAGATAATTTCTAGGAGATTCATCTCTTGGGAAATGGTAATTAAGAAGTTTGAGGTTGCGGATTTACACTTTGGTATGAACCGATTTTCCAAAAGTGGTACAACTCTTGATTTCCACTGCTAATATTACAGTGAATTGATACTTTTAGCGGTATGTTTATCTACGCAAGCTTTATAGGCTCTGTTAAAAAACATTTTCTTATGTTTGTAGAACTCATTATGACTTCACATTTTCAGGTTAATTCCAAACGAAGAGACCTAAACTAAAGCAGTTTGTTTTTAATTGCCTTGAGAAGCTGGAAATTGTGCTTTTGTAACAATTGGAAAACGAGAACTTCGTACGGGTGCTCTGATTCAAAATGCCAAAAACCAATACAAAACGTAAGCATTTAACAACTGAAGGCCTAGGATAACCTTTGTTCTTGGGAAAGTTTCTACTGTTTCTTTTAGCAAGTGCATTAGGCCATAGGTTAAATTTGTTTGTACTAACTGGTGGCCGCCATTCGATTCGCGCCCTGGTTGACGTGTCGGCAGGATGTTAAATTTTGTTGGGAGTGGGTATAATCCTCCTACTCACCTTTTTGGTATGTCCGTCCAGGGCATTTCCCCAAATTACGGTAAGATTATGTTTCTGCACATATCTTTGGTTTGTTTATCCCAATAACGTCCTGTATGCACACCTTGAATTTGCAGAGAACAGTGGTGAACTAACCCTTTTTGCGTCGGAGGTTTCTCCTTCGATTACAAATTCCATCTCCACTGAGTCGAGTGAGGTCAGTAATGGACAAAATGATACCCCGTCGCCGCCCACCAGTACCGTGGTTGCTAATGAGCTCAATCCCTCTGAAAATACTCTTGTTCTACGCAGCAATGAAATCACTCCACCTCCTGGGGGAGCAGGAGACGGTCCTTCTGGTAATTCTCCAGGCATGGGAGGAAGTGGTGGGGGTGGTGGTGGCAGCGCCGGTGGTTCTTCTGGTGGTGGTGACGGCGGCAGCCGTCCCGGCGGCAACGACCGCCACAATAACACTCCTCCTACCCAACATTCCTTCATTTTTGAGCCTCCTGCGAGAAATAGTCATGGTACCGAGGGTCGAGCTATTGCGCTAAGGGCCAATCACTTTGAAATTACCGTCCCTCACGGCTTCCTCCATCATTATGACGTTGCTATTAGTCCTGAGAAATGTCCACGTCGAGTTAATCGGTAGGTTTTTTGCTGCTTACAGGAACAAGAAAAGTGAATTGAAGGTCTTAATCCCATTACAAACATTTTGCTTCTAGGGAGATTATTGAGACGATGGTGAACTCGATGCACTACCAAAACTACTTTTACAACCAAAAACCCGTCTTTGACGGCCGCCGCAATATGTACACCAGGGACCCCCTTCCAATTGGTAACGAGACAGTTGAATTGGAAGTCACGCTCCCTGGAGAAGGTCGGGATCGTGTCTTCAAGGTCGCAATTCGTCACGTCTCGGAAGTGTCTCTCTTCTCCCTTGAAGATGCGTTGGACGGGAGGTCCAAAAGAATACCTGCGGACGCTGTCATCTCGCTTGATGTCATCATGAGACACCTGCCCAGTATGAGGTGCGTGGCATTCGGTTTTATTAATTTTTGTTTTTTTTCCAGTTACACTCCTGTAGGCCGGTCCTTTTTCCAAACCCCCGAACGAGGTTATGATAACCCCTTGGGTGGCGGGCGTGAAGTATGGTTCGGTTTTCATCAAAGCGTTCGGCCGTCGCAGTGGAGAATGATGCTTAATATCGACGGTAAGTTGTCTTTGTTTTTGTGTGTTCATGCGTGGTTATGACCTTATAAGTTTAACTAGAAGTACGCAAGTGCGTTTTCTTGCAGTTTCTGCGACAGCATTTTACAAATCCCAATCGGTTATTGACTTCATGTGCGAGGTTCTCGATCTCACTGACAAGAATGACCAGCGTAGGCCACTGACAGATAGTCAGAGGGTTAAGTTCACCAAAGAAATTAAAGGTAAGTCAGTCGGTCATTTAAACAGCCAATCATGTTTCCTCTAGGGCTAAAGGTTGAGATAACCCACTGTGGCAGCATGCGCCGGAAGTATCGTGTGTGCAATGTCACTCGGCGCTCGGCGCAGTCACAATCATTCCCTCTACAGCTTGACAGTGGTGCAACGGTGGAGTCTACGGTTGCTAAGTATTTCCAGGACCGTTACAATATTGTTCTGAAGTGAGCTGCGGTTTGTAATGGACTTATTTTATCATGGCAGTTTAGTTACGCCTTATGATTGGCATTAGGAAGGGCTGAGAGGTTAGTATTTTTACTCCTGCTTCGTCTTGGTGTCGTTCTTCGCTCTCTTCGTTGGGATTGGTCGAGAGATAGGGACCATAGCCGTAGGATGAATAGATTTTGACGGGCACATTTGCTCACTACTCGGGAGATGCATTGAATTAATTTATTTACTGGGCGGTGTTATATGGTGGACACATTGCACATGTCATCCGCTTTTGCCCAAAGTCCATTTGCCAATGAAGCAGCGTCTTGGAGTTACTGTCGATTCAAATCCTTTCTTAATCGTTCCGCTGTTTCAGCACAGCTCAAACGTTCCTCTGAATTCTTTTGAGTTTCTTGTAATATAAAGCATTGCACCACTGAATTTGATTTTGTCATTATTAGAAGCAGTTCTTTTTCGGTGGTTCTGAATTATATTATTTTGATCTCATTTGAATGTGAATAATTAAGCTGTCTAACCACTTTTCTGGACCGTCGCGAGCAGCTTTGTAGGATCAATTCCGACTTGGTCACATCTGGTATCGCTCCAGTAATGATCAATACTGAGAACTCGAACACTTGGCGGAAGTCGACGTAGTTTTAATAGCTCGTTTGTCGTGGGTCCCGTAGATTCATTATTTCACAGGTCTTTTCCATGACTTTCTGTATGGTGAAAGCCGGAATTTGTGTTGTCCTTCTGGATCAGGTTTGCTAACCCTTGGTTTGCTCCTTGACTCGTCCTAATTTAGGTTTGGATGTAACTTTCTAGGTAACATATGAGTGACTAGAAGACTAGTAGCAAAAGTGCATACTACTGAGGTAAAAGTCGAACTGCAAGGCGTAACTTTTCCTCGACCGCAAATAGTCGTAGCCTTTCCTCAACTATCCAACGACGACAGGGCAGTGGATGTGATGTCTTTCCCATCAGTGTCACCCATGCAAACTAAACCTTTATATCACTAGAGTTACTGTCCCTTAACATACGCCCTAGGCCATGCAAGTGCTAACTAGCGCCTTGCATTGGAGAGCTGGGTCTTTAATTTTTCTTCGTTTCTGGTCTTTTAGTTATCCTAACCTGCCCTGCTTACAAGTGGGTCAAGAGCAGAAACACACCTATCTCCCATTGGAAGTTTGCAACATGGTCGCAGGACAACGCTGCATCAAGAAGCTCACTGACATGCAGACCTCCACAATGATCAAGGCCACGGCGCGATCAGCACCCGATCGGGAGAAAGAGATTAATAATCTGGTGCGACGGGCGAATTTCAATGCAGACCCGCATCTCCAAATGTTCGGCATCACCGTGATTCCGCGCATGGTGGATATTCAGGGCCGAGTTATCCCGGCACCGAAAATCCAGTACGGTGGACGAACGAAGGCCCAGGCCTCACCCCAGCTAGGTGTGTGGGACATGCGGGGAAAGCAGTTCTTCTCGGGCATCGAGATCAAAACCTGGGCTATTGCCTGCTTTGCCCCAAAGCGGATTGTTAGGGAAGATTCTTTACAGTGAGTACCAGCCTTGGTTTCTTCAAGATTTGCTCTAAATTACTTGTCCGTGAAACTTCGGTTTGATCTGCTTTTTTGACGTATTATTGGTGTGAATCTCTTGAGACCAAAATCTGCATTTTATAAAGGAGATTGTTTTAGGGGCTTTCTGTAGTGATCTTGATTCTTCAAGATATTGCAAATGACATTTTTCTGGAAGTTGCCAGAGTTGATCCAATGTGAAGGATTTCCTGGTTTTTGTGAATTATTTGAGGTCGGTTGCCGATGTCTGGTTATTGCTGATACCTTAACTTTTGCTTGCTTCTGAGATCGAATTTGGAGATACTCTCATACGTTAAATGCTATTTTGGGTTTTATTTCGCTTTTGAGGTTTAGATCGGAATTCGTAGCTACTCCTCATGTTTAAGGTGCGCTGGTTAGCTCTCATTAAATGCATTTTGAGGCTACTTTTAAAAAATGCTTGTTAACATTAGTTGAGACAAGCTAAACTATTTCCATTAATTGCATTAAATGGATCTGTACCTGTTTGTGCGATCTCGAAAACGTGCTCTCGATTCCAGCTTTGTGTGATTCCGGGTTGATCTCTCCTTTTTGGGAGTGATGAAATCTTGAGTTATCTCCGTTCATGATTTATCACTTGGGCATGGTGTATCCAAAGGTCTTGCTTTGTTGATGGTCCCTTGCCAGTGTGCTCATGACTTTGTTAGTCTCACGGTCGTATTCACAAATTTTGTGCCATTGGAACCTTTTTTTTATTATTGATTCGGACAGGTTTATAAGACTCTTTTCCCTTCATCTCGCTTTTACGAAATGACGGTGAGCGTTTGCTGCCAGTATTTCCCATTTTAAGAGCAATTGAAGGTGTCTATAGCATTGCTTGTCAATCCAAATACCTTGATCATCGCATGGGTAGCTAAAAATTCTTTAAATATTTCCTGAGATGTTCACCATTTCTGCAATCTATTGCCCTTCCCCATTGAGGCACAAGCCGGCTGCGAATTTCACTTCGGTAAGGCGCTCATTTGAGTTCTCAAGGTGCTGAATGTATCCTTTCAGAATTTTGCTCTTTTAATTTGGCAATCTGAGATTAGTTTCATTGGACTGGTGTGTTTTTAAATGTTTTGTCTTCTTTACGTTGATTGGGAACAATTCGTCAGTGGGACGCCTCACCGACCTTTCATATGATAAGCTGTGGCTATTTAAAACCGGACCATTAAGTTCCTGAAGGGAGTGCTTTCGGGAGTTTTTTTAGACACTGACTTTAATGTCCTGTCGACTTCTCTAAATTATGTATTGAGTCACTGTCACCCTTTTATTTGCCTATCGGGTAAGCTAACAGCCGTTTCGAAGCAAGACTGGGGTTTTTTCACTGCGTGAGCCTATTCCTTGAGTTTCACCTAGTTCGCCGAGGGCTTTTATGAGATTTTTATGATATCCGTATTTGCTTCACTGTTAAAGATTGTCTGTTTTAACGGCCCCATCATTTGTAGCCAGGTCATTCCACTTACCTACTTGAATCTACTCACTAGCGAAAGTAGCTCCTCCAATATCCGCTTTTCCAGCTTATAGTCGTGGTCGATAAAACAGTGTCGTTAGGCAAGCTGTCCGTCCGTATTCTGTGCATCCCGCTCAGCATCTTGCTTAATTTGCATCATTAACGAAACCTTCAACATCATCATTTGCCCAGCTTCTTAGATTCACAAGTTATCAAACCTGAGTGTTATAACCTTCTGTTTAGATACGATTTCAATTTTCTCTCCTGCTTGAATTTGCTAGGTGTTAAGAGTAGCCTCTGAAAAGGAAATAAAATTTGACATTGGTCTTCCTTTCCGTTCATTTGAATGATTAGTGAAAACTATTGTTTAGCTCTTTGAATTCAGAAGGCATGAGCTCCTGTATTCTGCATTCCAGTTATGCTTATCCCTGCGCCAGGCCACAGTGATTTGAAAAATAAGGCAATTGGTCAGTCATTCTACTCGATTCAATTCACGTCTTAAACGGTGAGTCACGTTGGGGTGACTGGCACAAACCCCGATGTTGAAGCATTTGACGTCGACGTGCTTCGTGTAATGTTTACGGCTTTGAGGACAACAACGCCAAAAACGAAGACAAGCTTTTCGCTGTGCTCGCTAGGCGAGCTCTCTAACTGGATTTTACCCTGCTAGCTGCTCGTCGTCAAAAAAGTCGGTTACTCTTTTTTGGCCTCTATCGCGTATTTATTCATGCGTTGCTAACTCGTTTTTTTGACCTTTTTTAAAAAGGACATTAATTTAATTTACATGTAATTTAAGTTTAAGGTCTTTCTTTGTTTGAATAAGCTTACAGGGGGAGTAAATGAACGTGTTTAAACCGATTTTTCCGGCGCACCCACCAGTCCACCCCCTTTTCGCTATCTTTTAGTGGATGCTTTCATTGGGCTCCTTTTTGTAATCTGGTTGCGTATGCAAGCGTCGATAAGGTCTTTTTAAGTTTTCTGATCATATCGTATTGCGCGATAAAGATGGGACCTGAATAAGTCCGAGCGCTTTTACATTCTAAATCCAAATAGCCGGAGCAAGTTTCTTTGTATGCTTCATTCGTTAAAAAATTTTAGTAAGATATTTTCCTTTGCAAGTAAACAGCCAAATTTCAGCCTTAGCCGCCGCACTTTTGGTTTCTAACTTTCTATTCCACTTTCCTTATCTATTGTCACAGGACTATCTAAGGTCAAGGAGAGGTGAATAAGGACCACCTTGTAAAATATTAGCTATGACAATGCGGCGAATGCGGGTGAGGCGGTGTCTCCCTCCCTCCCCACTTATCCTAAAGTGAGGTGTTGTACTGTCTTGTAAGAGTAAGACGAGTTTTTCCTTCCGGCTGCACAAGTTTTGATTTTTTTCTCTAAGTTCCTGTGGCCATTCGAGTTGTACGCATGGAGTGGATAGATCCCAGCTGTAATCGTTGTTTGGCCTTTAGTAAGTAAACAATTTCATCTCTGGTTCATGCATGAAGCGGTCACGATTAATGAGCGTTGGGATGCCCTCACTTATTAAAATGCATGGTATTTTTTATATGTGCAACAGTGGACTGGTAGTCTTTGAAGCTAATTAACCATCATCTATCAAATCATGGCGTGTGGATGAAAACCCTTTTCTTAGTAGCTTGCGCTACAATTTTCCCTTCCCAGTTAATGTAGGCGCCATCACTTGCTTTATCCATTGCTGCACCCCCTATTTCTGCCCGAATTTGAAGAGAGGCCCTTGCATCTTTGCAACTCAATCAAATTCGGTATGCTCGATTCATATCTAATCTATCAAATTCAACTAACTCTATGCGATAAGGACTCAAAGAGGACGAGGGTAGTGTGGATAACAGAGTAATGAATCCTTATGATCTGTGCATTATAAACAGCTGCATACATATTTCGCGTCTTCGCAAGTTACTACGAGCTAGATCGGTTACATGAAGCCTTGGCAGCTAGATAGTATTGACGAGCGGATGAAATGGCAGTTTTAAATCATTTTGTCTTGAGTTCGTGGCGCTGTCCTTTGGTGGTTTTTTTGAAAGTAACCCATTATGCACCCACGTTGATCTAGTGTTACTTATAAAGCAATATTTCTGTGGGAAATAATCAAAAGATATTCTTCGCATCTTTATTTGAAAACAACAGGAGTAGGCCAAGGAAGGGTGTTAGGAGTTGTGTATCTGTGACTACCCTTGTCCGGTAATTCCATCCTGGTTTTGGTAAACAGTTCCACCTTTTTGAAGAATATTCTCTTCAAATTTTTGTTTTGCTCACTTTTGCGGTATTTACGGGCACTGATTCTAACTGAAACAGGTTTGTTTTTGCATGATATATTGTTGAGGCTTCCGTGACTTTTGCTTGCTCTCTTGAGAAAACAGTGAAAGACGCAGACCTGTCTGGTCATCCTACTTCGCTTTGCTTTTGCAACTCGATACCCTCCGGCCTTCTAATGAATATTCTTCGTTCATTTTTTGTCTGCATTCTAATTGTGATTCCATGGATTTATTTTAAAAACGTGTTGTCAATTCCCTATAGTTTCATTCCAAGATGGTAGCGTTAATATTACGCATTTTCTTATTTTCGTTCTTGAAGGAACATAGCTACACATTCGCGTTGCTTCAGTGAATTTCGAAGCCATGCTATTTTGAATGATTTTAATCGAGCTTGCATAAAGTGTAAAAGTGAATGAAGGATTTGGAACTGGTCATGTCTGAGCGTGTTACCTGACTACAGCCTGGTAGGGGGGATAAAGCTCCACCTTCCGTCTGTGGGTGGGTTGAAATTTTTTGAAAATGACCCTACTTTTGGCGTAACGGTCGTGGAACACTTTAGGCGCCTGCCGACTGCAGCTGCGACTGTGGTAAGCTAAAAGTGCCTTTGCTAAAGCTGAAAGTTAATATTTGACGAGTCCTCAGATGAGATTAATGTGAGTTCTACCTTCCAACGCTCCGGTTCATGATGTGCATCAGTTGACAATGTGCTTATTATCAAGATTGTTCCTCAACTCATGGAGGCGTTAATCCTGCAACTGATTCGGTTTAGCATTGCGTTTACCACCATAGGTGTAACAGGACCTCAACTTCCGCTCATAAATGACACTTTCTTGTTACCTACTGATCACCACTTTTTACCTCCCGTAGGCAATTCGTCATCCAACTGCAGAAGATCTCCAACGATGCTGGAATGCCAATCCAAAGCCCACCTTCCTTCTGCAAATATGCCACGGGACAAGACCAAGTAGAACCCATGTTCCGTTTCCTAAAAAATCAGCACGTCGGTCTCCAACTCATCGTTGTCGTCCTGCCCGGCAAGACACCGGTCTACGGTGAGTAGGTGTTTGAGCCATTTTTGTGCTTTAGAATTCGTTTTATTCATCACTTTTTCAAGTAGAGGTATGAATGCTAAAGTTGTAACCTGATGTTCATAAGCGTAAGCTTGGATCCTGTTTCGTTTCCGACCTGAATAATCAGGGCGCATGAGTTAGCGGAGGTTGAGAAGGAGAAGACAATGAAAATGACCATCTGTACATTGTTTGTAATTGCTACGACGTTCCACTTGGTGAATCATCTATCCACTCATTTACTGTTGCATCTTGCGTTGTCGACTTGAGTACACATCCGCTGCTCACAAAAATTTGAGGCTTCTCTAACTATTTGGACAAATCAAGCAACAAATTCTACTCATTCTTTTCAGCCGAAGTTAAGCGAGTCGGTGATATCATGTTTGGCCTTGCCACCCAGTGCGTGCAATCCAAAAACGTAAACAAGACCTCACCTCAGACCCTCTCTAACCTCTGTCTCAAAATCAATGTCAAGTTGGGTGGCATCAACTCCATCCTGGTGCCTGCCGTGCGTCCCACGGTCTTCCGCGAGCCTGTCATCTTCTTTGGGGCTGATGTGACGCATCCGCCTGCCGGAGACAAGACGAAGCCGAGCATCGCTGCTGTTGTGGCCAGCATGGATGCTCATCCAAGCAGGTACTCTGCCACAGTAAGGGTACAATCGCATCGGCAGGAGATAATTCAGGACCTCTACCCCATGGTTAGAAGTCTGCTTCTTCAGTTCTACCAGTCGACGAGGTTCAAACCTGCAAGGATTATCTACTATCGAGATGGAGTTAGTGAAGGGCAGTTTTCAAATGTGAGCTTTTTTCCTGAAAAATTTCCTCTGTTTTGCTACTCAATCTTTCGTCCCTAATTCATTCGCAATCCGAGCTCGCTTTCTTGTCCTACCCATCCACTTGATTTGCAAGCTCTTATCCACCTCTGTTCCAGCTTCTCTTATTCGTCCAATCTTTTGGTCTCGATATATTCATCCTTCTATTAGTCAAGCCTCGGCTTTGTTCATTCTTTCTTGAGTTCCCATTTCTGATCTGCAACTCTGTCATCCACGGATCAGTCTGAATATCTCTTTACTTATCCTCTCGATTCATCTATTTATCTAAGATTCACCTACTGATCTTTCCTCGTCTTGTGCAGGTATTGAACCACGAGTTGCGCGCGATCCGCGAGGCCTGCTTGAAGCTCGAGATCGAGTATCAGCCAGGCATCACCTTTGTGGTGGTGCAAAAACGTCACCACACTCGACTCTTTTGCGCTGACAAAAAGGATCAGATGGGCCGCTCAGGCAATATTCCCGCGGGCACCACGGTAGATCACGTCATCACGCACCCTACAGAGTTCGACTTCTACCTCTGTTCGCACGCGGGCATTCAGGGGACCTCGCGACCTAGTCACTATCATGTCCTTTGGGATGACAATAAGTGAGTGACCTTTTTTGGGTTGCCTTCATTTTGTTTTAAAATAATTTGTCACCCATATTCTTCATTCGTTCACTCCAAGTCTAGCATTCCGCATACACTCCTTAGATTAAACCACGTCTTTTCACACATTTACCTCTCTCAACTCGCCTATTCGCCTATCTGCCTCGGATCTATCCACAACTCCATCTATTTACCTCCGATTCACCCATCTAGCTATTTACGTGTCGTCAATTCACCCGGTCGTTTCAGGTTCACCCATCTCTCCATTCTCCAACTGTCCATTTTATTAATCCATCGATCGTTTTGCCTCTATTGCCCATTCGATTCCGTACCTGTCGGTTCTCGATCGGTACTACATTCATCATGGTTCAGGCAATATGTCCATCTGTTGGTAAATTGGTCCTCTTACTAATCCATCCATCAACGCATTCACACCCGTTCCTAGTATTAATTATTGATATATTCTATTTCTAGTCTGTCAATCCATCTATCTGGAGTCTATCCACCTGTTCACCCATTAATCCATCGAATCCTCCATCCGCCCACGATTTATAGGCTGTCCGTCTATACATCGACCCATTCATCTGCCTCCCTGTGATTTTCCCATCCACCAATCAATGATTCGTCTAATTTTTACCTTTTGCATTCTTTGATCTATCCGGCAATCCATCTCGTGCCCATCTCTTTTTCTGTCTCTACTGGATCAATTCATCCAGAATCTTCACATCCATCTTGTCTTTTCGTATGTTTTCCACTGGATCTGTTGATTCCTCCATCCCATGATCACCTCATCTTATTTCCATTTGTAGTTTCTCGGCCGATGACCTCCAGAACCTGACCTACCAACTGTGCCACACCTACGTGCGCTGCACCCGTTCTGTATCTATTCCCGCGCCCGCCTACTACGCCCATCTTGTGGCTTTCCGCGCTCGCTACCACCTCGTGGAGAAGGAGATTGACAGCGGCGAGGGCAGTCAAAAGTCTGGCAACTCGGACGAACGCACACCCACTGCCATGATGCGTGCTGTAACAGTGCACCCTGAGACGTTGCGGGTCATGTACTTCGCTTAGATCGGGTGCTGTCACCATAATCATTCTCATTTTATAGCTCATTTTTTGTGCTTGTTTGTGTGTCTGTGGGAGATTGCGAGATGATACATCCACCTAATTTAAGCAGTAAGGTAGAGGCGTGAATGCCTCGGAGCATTTGCAGAAATGAAACAGCGAAACATCAAAACCGCGGAGACAAAGTTCGAGGCATATTATCACTCCCACCTCTCTTTCCCCTTGCCTTATCGACTTCCTTTCAGTCCCTCACCACACCGTCCCCCATTTTCCGTGTATCAGCACTGTTCTTCTTTATGCCTGTATATGTGTGTCTGCGTAAACAAAACTACAACAATTGCTTGGTTACCCATCGAGCGCTCACTCCGTCCATCCCCTATTATAGTTGTCACTGCTATCTCAGCTCATGGGTGATGCCCGTATATCCACCGGGTCTATTTGTCTATCTCTGTGCAATCATTGTGACGATAAATTTTTTTAAATATTACTTGCGTCCACACAACGTCTTTGCCCTGGAATTGGTTGGGTTGATGAGCTGCTGGGTCGTGTGAGTGACGTTAGAGGAGGACATGGTCTCTATCGAAGAAAGGGACCCAGATGGAACAAGGATTTTTATCTCCCAGTCATAAAAAGGAATGTTGCTGTGCTGATCTTACAGATGTCGGTGAGTTATCAAGGTGTCCTTACGTTTGTCGCTCAGACACCCTTAATCCACACGTCAGGCGACGGTGGTGTGCGCGTGAACCATTGTGGTGGTAGGCGAAATTTTTTGTGGGCTCGAAACCGGTGGATATTTAGTCGTGCAGGGGAATTTAGCCACAGTGCAGTGCAGTGATAGTAGCACTGCTCAGCGGTAAGGCGTCTGG